AAATTGGGTGCTGAAGAACATAAACTCAATCATTAATAAAAGTCACTTGCTATAAAAAACAACACACACTGACAATTACGAATTATTCATTGAGGCAATGGTACGATATGTGTTCCTCGACTTCAGAATTTGAGAGTTCGGAATGTTCGGATCTATAATGTTGTATCGTTTTCACCATGGTCTGTAATGGAGTAATAATCATGAAGGCTTTTGTAAGAGTCTCAAACTTGGCTAAATATTCTGTGACTTCTTTAGTATATTATACATTTATGTACCACATTTATCCAGATACAAGTATCTGCTCAAGTGCGCTTTATTTTATCCGTATGCCTGCTAGTTATCATTCTCAACTCCCTGGGGAGTATACAGGCCAAGTTGACTCCGGGCACTTGAGATTGCTTACTTATTAGGGACCGAACATTTGATATTCTGGGCTTTTATATCAACATTAAATATTTTCGGCTACAGCTAAAAAAACAGATAATTTTTTTTATCTTAACCTATGAGCCTGAATCTATTTGAGGAAAAACATGTGTTTTTTTGTGGCAGACATGGTTTTTTTCAACAGCATAATTATGTTTTTCAAGAATTTTCGGGGACAATATACTTTTTTTTATAAAATTGTTATCGACTGCATGAAGATCCGCGAGTTCAATTGTCAGGTGTTATTCTAAAGTTTGTTGAACCTACAATAAGCTAGCAGACGCACTGACAGATATTTTATTTTTGTCTCATCACTGTACACAATAACAAAAAAAACAGTCGTAAAATAGGCGTTTATACATAAAAATAATAATAATAATAGCATTATGTGTCACCAGTATAAATGTTTATGTAAATTAAGTCTCATCATCACAAACCGTGTCGTGTTCACACAAACATTCAATACATCTAGATTAATGCAAGCTGATATAAGAACGTTAATGATAATAATAATATTTTCACAGCGTGACTAGTACTTCGCAATGATTACCACAAATCACCTCCAGTGAAGATGATAGAAGTGGTTATCAACGTTCCCCAAACCATACCCACAATTTATTTAAACGGTAGTCCGCTTGGGAAAAGAGTTTGGATATTTTGAAATAAACAGAAATGATTATGTTAGGTGCCAGTTACAAAAGAATCATTTCCGACATTACAAAACACTTTCCACCACTAAGAGATTACTCAACCGTAGCAGAACGTGTTTGAGTGTTAATCCGATATATTTTTTAATGAAAAAAATAAAACGATTAGTTGGTTTTGTTTTTTTTTGGGGGGGGGGGGGGAGGGGGCGAGTGGCAATTAGAATGAAAAAAATACACCGTCGATAGGACAACAAAATAATGCAAAAATCGCATCTAAAAACATACAAGATTGAAGCCGATCAATTCAAATGTTATCAGTCGACTTGGAATAATTTATTTCGTTGATACCTTATAATATATTCTGATCTGAAGTGATGATCTCGTTATTAACTGTTTAAGTATAATTACATCCGCAGCCGTTTCTGACAGGTATACAATATTAGTTAACTTCTGTGTCACATAATATTCTCCAATATGCGATCACACGACAACATGACAGCCGATGATCTCATTAAAGTAATCAGAAAGATGTTCATGTGTTTAAGCACGTACTAACTACTGGATGATGAAGCTAATTGCTACAATTGAGACCTATCTACTACGGCTGATCCGAATAATGTGTAATTTCCTCAACATATTACACCCATTACGCGACACGAGTCATTTACTGAATATTAGTCATTTTTCCTATGGCTCTCCTCAGCTGCCCATAGATGTTTTGTCCGCTAGAGGGCGGTGAGACCAGCACGTGCCAACGTCGGTGATGCGTACACGAAATGTGATGACGTAATTAATACGGTGGTCATTGACAGTCAGCAACATCAGTGGAGAATGAACCGTTTCGTTTGTTGGATAGCTCCATACGTGTATAATTACACGTCATACGTATGTATAATTACTGTGATCCACCGTTTTGCTGAGTTGACGACGGATTTTTGACCATTTTCCACCTGTAGTGTGTTGTCAGACGTAGGTTAGTCCTCAACCCCGTTTACAAACACCAGTAGTCCAGTCACTTCAGGCGCTGCAATTCGCTGTCCAGAGTTGCGACCCTTAGGCACACCAGAAACCTATGATTGTGGGTTCGAATCCCGGTTCGCCCCGATTATGTTTCTAGGTTTGTCAGCACCATACCCGTGCTTGTGGGTTTCACCCAAGCGGTAAACGTCTGAGACCTGCATCACTTCGGGATTTCCTCTCACATTAAGCTGGCACGCCGTGATATAACTGGAATACTGTTTAAAGCGGCGTTAAACTCAATTCACTTTCTCACACACTACAACCAACATTTCAATTCCAATCAGTTCAATTCAAAAACATATCTTACATTCGTTAATAAGTTCATCGGCAATCAGTATAGTCGATACTTCTAAATATCCTATTTCGTTACATCCGGGGTCGTGTCTCGCCTTGTGGACATCAGTAATTCTCCTGTTTGATGATGTGGTGGCGACGGAATTCTGTTTGTCGGCTTTGAAACCTTTCCCATACAGTAGACAAGAATGCTGTTAAGTTTCACGGAGCTACTAAAAGTATTCATTAATACCAAGGCTACGAACACAAGGAATGAACTTCACACATTCGGCTCGTGTGGAATCGAACCCAGGTCTTCGGCTGGATGAACGAGCGCCTTATCTACTGGGCTATCATATCGGCCCGTTTTTGACGGACAAAGTACAGACACATCATCAAGGATCATTCCAAGATATTTGTCCGTTTTTTGTATTTTTCACTAAAGATTGCATTGGCCAGAAATTCCCACGAAAAAAAAATGTTATAAAAATAACCACCGCATCCGTCGCGTTTAAAAACTATGGGAACTACTCGTCATGTTTTGGTTTGGAAATGTATCTACGAAATACCAACATGTTAGAGGCCAGTCGGTATATCCTACTTTCATGACTCATCGGAAATTACCCCCAGCTTATGGTCGACGACGGTGGGGCAATACCTCGGCATGTTGGTCAACTACACCGAAACAACGACAGTCTGTCCGGGGGTGGGGTAGACTAACATCTAGTCTATGAAATGAACATATTTCACAGAAAAAACAGTTGTTAAATTATAGTTATAAAATATAATAAAAAAGGGGCCCAGAGACTTTCGTCATTTTCAGATACTGCAGTAATCTAGACTTGCCAAATCTTATAGACTTGCATGGGCTGTATTGGATATATTTGTTTCAGAGTCTGTATGACAGGGGTGGGGGCTACATTCCACAGAGTTTTACTGGTTTTTTTACTGTTTTATCTGAAAACATAAAAATGTTTTGTTGCGGAAACTAAAATATACCAAAAGTAATAGAAACAGCAAATATACGATATGCACGGACTGTTGCAAGTACCGCATATACTGATAATTTTTTTTAGAAAAAAAAACCCATAAAAAAATAGTGTTAAATTAACTCGAAGTCACAAAACTCGACATATCATTGAAGACTGATTCGTTCGAGAAAAAGATCAAAATAGAGTAAAACTTCATTTACTCGAATTCTAATAACGCGACATATCGTAAAAGCCTGATTCGATCGGTGTGAATTGAAAACCGAGTTGTGGGAAAATTGACATAATAGAAATGCGTTATATCGAAATATCGTTGATACCTGATTCGTTCCCGGGGGGGGGGGGGGGGGGGTTACATACAGTTTCATGTTCTCATATTGGCTTGTATACTGAAGGAAAGATGCGCAAAGAAATCATATAATTTGTGTTCTTTTAAAACTTAAATAATACCCCGGTGTTATTGGACGTTGAAACCCTATTGATGTACGTGTAGCACGAATGATATAATCTTTTGAAAATAGAAAAGAATGATACTATATGATTGTATTCATACATGTATAAAAAGTCAGCCACGTATTACATGGAAACGTACACATTAAGATATGTTTTAGTCATCGTGACCCTGACATGTTAAGTGTACATTGATGTAGCAATGTTTTTAAGGGGATTCGAAAAGTATTTGTAAAATGAAATAAGAAATTAAAATTTCCTGTGTTAATTAATTTTAGGGTCGCATCCAATATGGTAATGAGGGGAGCGTAATGACGAAGAGACGAAAGCACAGGTCTCACCCCTAACAGCGTGTGATTTCATAAATAAATTTCGCAACAAAAATAGATTGATAAATTGTTTAATCCAACAATTGCGAATTCAAATGTGCCTTATCCGACGTGTTTTATTAGGCTAAGGGCTTGTAAATGATCATTGAAATCAAAATTAATGTGCTCTCATTAAGTCCGTCTCAACTCTGCTATGCGGGTAGCTTAAATGGCAGCACGAATAAGGCGGCAAATAGTTAGAACTTGACTTCTGTGATCAGCTGTAGTTTCGTGTTATCACACAAATTATCATTGTCCAGTTTAAGTGGCTAATTTCAATAGGATGTGCCACACACTTCAGCCGCTGTCAATCAACGAGGTACAGGGTCGGGGAGCATGTCAAAGGTTGTTCGTTGCAATCATTACTCATTTGCAGATGGGAAATTTGTTGGGAGACATTTTGACCAGTTAAATGACTCCTATCTTTAAATACTCCAAGACGAGCCAAAGACACGGCTTCCCTGCCCGTCGCGCGACCTTGTGACGTCACGCCGCGATCTGCGCGTGCAACTGATGTGTTACAATTGTCACCTGGCCAGCATGGCGCATATTTCTCCCGTAATTACCATCAAGATTCTATTTTTGTCTTTATTTGCAGAATCTCAGTTGTTATGGCGTCGGTATTTATTTAAGCTAGCATGTCAAACAGTTAGAGAGCCTCGCTCTGATATTGAAGAACCCACTTCCGTCGTGACGAAATTGTAATTGAGCACTTTAGTACCAATTAAGATCTATTGTCATTCTTCATGCGACTGGCTTCAATTGCGCTAATAGACGTTTATTACAGCCAATGATTTCTCCCCTGCTATTAGAGTGATATATAAATGGTAAGGTGGACAGTTGATGGAACTTCCTAGTTGTTGTCTATTGCAGGGGGACTCCGGAGTTAGCAGTGCTGGTAGCAGCACAGAAGCTTGTTAATTTCAAAATGGACATGTCGCCACCTGACACGCAAACGTCCAACGACGACTCACACGCAAGTAAGTAATTTTTTAAAAGCTTGATTAAAGTTATTGAAATTTTAAATGTAGTGGGTGGTATTTCTTTATTTTATTTTGTCTCAATTTGAAAAGGATGTGAAAATAATTATCTTTAATACGTTTAATTAATTAAATTAGCAATTACTGAAATTATTATTTCTTACATTTCTCAACATATTTGATTTTAGCAATTAATAGAAATTTGAATTAATGATGACATGTATTATACATTTTTTTATCTCTAAATCATTGAATGATCTTTGTTCAATAAATATCCCTTTTGCATATTTTCCAAATGACACGAATGCCGAGTGTTTCATTTTTACATAATTATTAATAAATTAACCGTTGTAAAAATTGCTTTTCTTCGTGCTGAATATTCGGTAATTTGAATATAAGTGACAAATATTTATCTTCAGACTGTTCAGTATAGAAAGGTTAATTGTAAATTAGATGTTGTAAGTCCTTGTATTGTGCACTAAGACCATACATGTATGTTATTGGTACAGTTGACCCTCATTAATCCAGACTTGAGTGCGTTTGTCAATTACGTATATGTTTTTAGTAAACACAAGTTTGATTCAAAGTATGCAAGTCACTTACAGCTGTAGTTGCAAGAATTGTGTTTTCTATAACAACGACCCAGTTCAGAAAGTTATCAATATTTTTTGTATGTATCATTTGACAATAATGGAAAGACGTAATGACCTTCAGTTGTGTTGTCATCAACGAAAAAACGCTCAACATTCACTCGTCCCATGAAATGATAATGTGAGGGAAATGTTAATGGCATCCTATACTTGAACAACCATCGTGGCATATTAGTTACGTAATTAAATCTTAAACTGTCAATTATATAAACATGGTAATACGTTTCTGATGAATTACTGCAGGAAATAATCACTCTGTTTATGTGTCTGTCTGTGTCTAAGTCTGCCCCTTTGTCTGTCTGTGACTCTATCTCTCTGTCTGTCTCCCCTACTCCCTCTCCCTATCTCTCTCCCCCTCTCTCTACCCTCTCTCTCTTCCTGTCTCTCTCCCTCTTTCTCCCTTTCTCTCATCCTCTCTCTACCCCCTCTCTCTCTTCCTCTCTCTCCCCTCCAACTCCTCTCTCTCTCTCTCCCCCCCAACTCCTCTCTCTCTCTCTGCGTCTATCTCTCTCCCCCTCTCTCTACCCACTCTCTTCCTTTCTCTCTCCCTCTCTCTCTCTCATCCTCTCTCTACCATCTCTCTCTTCCTCTCTCTCCTCTCTCTCCCCTCCAACTCCCCTCTCTCTCTCTGCGTCTATCTCTCTCCCCCGCTCTCTACCCACTCTCTTCCTTTCTCTCTCCCTCTTTCTCCCTCTCATCCTCTCTCTACCATCTCTCTCTCTTCCTCTCTCTCCCCTCCAACTCCCCTCTCTCTCTCCCTGCGTCTGTCTCTCTTCCATCTCCCAATCACCCTGGTCCCCTGTTTCTGCACCCCTCCCTATATTTTGGACATTTCCCTTCTTTCATATCTCTCCTTCACACCGGGTTCTCCACACAAAGTGTCCACAGGAATATGGCTTCCAATATCAACTGTCGATTTTAATGTCGATCTTTTAAAAGAAAATACTACATGATATTGGCAACGAAACACTGTAAACGTTTTTGTCTAAATTTCAATGAACAACTTCAAAATTTAAATAACACATTTTAAAACCAATGCTAAACACCCTCGACATCGCAAGCACATTTACTGCTTTTGAAGTCGTCCTCAACACAAAGCGGTAAACACAGTGTTCAAGGGCCCGCCATCATCACAGATTAGCACAGATTTCCTCAAACCAATACGTAGTATGTTCACAACAGGATTTGTACTGATAAACGTGCATTTTGATTCTAAGAGGTTGAATATTATTACTACTGTTCTGTTTACCAACAGCTTCAGTGCCTTATTTCTTCAACAGATATTTACAAATGACGCGTGGTGTCATAGGACAATCTGTTCCATCGATCTTGATTTTCGATAAAGTTTGTTAACTTAAAATAATATATTTAAACAATGCCCTGTTTTTTCGTTATTGCTGTTATTCGCCCAACCAACAGCGTGACAATAATGAAACACACGTGCATGTACAGAAAATTGTTACCTATTGACATAATGTTATTAATATTCTGTGACTTTTTGTGAAATTGCGTGCTCAGTCTTTACTACAAATAAAATATCCCCCCAAAATTTATGATCCCTTACTTTTTTGTTCAGTATTTTAACATCGACAACACCCGTATATTCAGATTTCCTCATTATAATCAATCTACGCCGATCGTTACGTTGAATAAACAGACATTAATTAGAGAGTAAATATCATTTTCCATCCGGATGATTAATTATGACGTGATTACTGTTTGTATGCGGGAGCAAATATCAAATGAAGAAATTGTTGACTTTTTGTCGCACAAGTTTTACGTGTATTGTATTGCATTAAATATTAACAATTATCTAAACGCATTCCCGCAGATAAAGATGTCAACTATATTTGCTCAACCTCAGAATATAAATAATCAGAATTAATTGGCCCACAGTCTGGAAGTGACTACAACGAACGGCTTATTGCACGAATGCTCCAATTGATGTTATCGCGATTTTTGGATAAAACGGAAGTGTTCGTTTATAATGTACACCGTAAAACCAACATTAATACACTGATACGTATTGTGATATTTTTCACAAACACTTCTGGTGGTACAAGGCACCCATTATTATATATAAATTGTCTATATTTATTAAACGTATATCATGCCAAAGATGGAACAACTAATATAATGTTCGTTATTTAGGGAGAGTATATTATTTTCTCAAAAGGTACCAAACTGACCATTAGGCTACTTGTACTGAAATCAGCGCAAGCCATCGTTTGTTTGTTTGTTGTTTAATGCCGCACTCAGCAATATTCCAGCTATATGATGGCTGTCTGTAAATAATCGAGTCCGGACCAGATAATCCAGTGATTGATGTCATGAGCATCGATCCACGTAATTGGGATACGATGACATGTATCAACCTAGTCAGCGAGTCTGACCACCCGATCCCGTCAGTCGCCTCTTACGTCAAGCATAGTCGTCTTTTACGGAAAGCATGGGCTGCTGAAGACCTGTTCTACCCCGGATCTTCACGGGTAGCAAGCCACCGACCTTGCAGGACAGCACAGTTATTATGTGGTTATCATACCTGTTAATACCATGCGTGTTAGGGCGGATAATTGGCCGACGAATAATAATTTAGTCTTTCGTATATACTGAACAAAAAAGGTTAGGGATCATAAATATATTGGGGTATATGCTCATAAAATTGTGTGCTCAGTCTTAAGTAAAAAAATGTTCGAAAACATATTCATGATCCCTAACGTTTTTGTTCAGTATAGTTTACTTCCCACCTAGTTGTGTTATACTACTCAAAGGAAGTTAAAAATCACCCGATTCTTTCATATTACTAAAGTCAATCTGTCACGTTATCTGTCATACAATCCCTCAAACAAATATATCCAATACCGCCCACGCAAGTCTATAACCGTGGGCAATTCTAGATTACTGCAGTTTCTGAAAATGAAGAGTCTCAGGGCTTCTTTTTTAATATAAGTTATTACGATAATTTTAACAACCTTTCAATGCCTTATAAAGACTTCAAGTAACAACTTTTTTTTCTTAAATATATGTTAATTAATAAATGTTAATTCATTTCAGAGACCAGATCTGTGTGATTGTGTTGGTTACCATTGCCGCCACATTATGTTATAAACTAGTTGCAGCATAGGTTTACACTAAACTTCTAAAAATGCTGCATTATATTGGGTGAAGGCACTGTCTCATAACCGCCCCCTCGCCCTCCCAAGCTGCCAGCACAGTGAGAATAAACCATTATTATTTACATACCTGCATAGCGACTTAACTAAACACTTACTCGAGGATTCAAGCTGAGCATTGCCAATTACGATGTTTTATTGCTCTAATAAGTAGGAACGACAAAGCTGTCAAAAGGACAAAGATTGTGGCCACGTTTAGATGACATTTAGACCTTTAGCCACGCCCCTTTTAAGCCCTTGCCCCGCCCCTATCACCTGCCCTGCGGACAAAGCCGGACAGCTGCCCGTCCAACAGGCTAGGGTAAACACGCACGACAATCACGTGCGCCGCGTGAGTCAAGCGCTCTACTAATGAAGTTCACTTGACATGTGACACGGCTGTGCAATAGGCAAGGGTTCTTAATAACATGCGGGTACGTCGTGTTCTGCTCTCGTAATTGTATGTTGAAACAAGGGCACAATGGGACGGGGAAGGATATATAATCTTTAACGCATGATATTGTTTATTAAATAGTTTCATCTTTTGAAAATAAGCCTAATTTTGAGGCGTTGGTCACAAAAATGCAATTGACTCGCGTTGAGTTCACAGGTTGTGCCGTTCAAAATCTTTATTCCTCAAGTTTAGGGCGAAGGGTTTATCAGGTCTAAAAGCTTGCCATTCTACCAAATCAGGTTCGAGTAAAAGAAACAACACTTCTAATCATAATATTTTACACTGAAATGAACGGCTTTAAACATTGAAATTGAAAAGGTGCACGTGTATGTCACAAAACTTAAGAAATTAACTTGTTCTAATAACCTGTCTGTGTGTGAATGGTGTAATAGATTACATTATCTTGGCCAAAAAAGAAAATTCTTTAAACTTAACTTATTTCCGGAGCATGCAATGATTTTCTTCTCAAATGCAATTCCAACAAGATATGTACATTAAAAATATCTGATAGGAATAAAGAATAACGCAACGATCTCAATCAGATCCATGACTAGCAAATGTGATACATGTATAAAATAACAGTTTATAGAGTCCGCATATAGACTCCCTCTTGAAATTGATTATAGGAATAAACTACCTACCTGTATTGTACCGAGATAATTCTAACATACGCATCACGGTTACATACGGACTTAAAGTATATTATCTTAATTAAACTTAATCGCCGTGGACAATTATCATCTAAAGTGAGATTTTTGTTTCATTTTGATGCACCGTTAAACGGTCTTACGTTCAAGCGTAAGGTTCGCAGAGTATTTCACCCAAACGCAACGATCATTATTTGTCTAAATTCTAAAAGTTTTACCGCATTTTGGAAAGTTATCCTTGGTAAAAAGGGTCAAATGCAGTGAAGTGTCAAAAAGTGAAAATATACCGACTCCGTTAGAAAAAAGTCGTTCAGTTGCAGAAAGGAAAATACTTGTACAAAACCGGTGACCGCATATTACTCGGGGAAACGAATGTCGAATTCGCGAAGATGCCGGTAAGAATTGGTCTTCAGCAACCCACGGGATCGGGTAGTCATGCATGTCATCGTATCCAAATTGCATAGATCGATCGACGCTCATGATGTCAATCACAGGATTGTCTGGTCCAGACTCGTTTCTTTACATATAGCTGGAGTATTGCCAAATGCAGCGATTGCAGATTGATTAGTAACAAAAAATATTTTTGATTTTTTGAAAATGTCATATAAGGTATTGTCGATTTAAACTAACTGACAATTAGTATTTCACATGCCTATTTATTGCAAGCGTTGAAACTGTAACAAGCACAGATGTTACACGTTTTCAGTCTTCAACTCCATCAAATAGAAATGGTATAAAAAATACAACCGATTCTCCGAAAATGGCAAATATGGCTCATGCGATTGTATTACGAGTGGACTGCCACTAATCAACTTATTCTGTATTGCAGTATGCTAGATTTATAGGACCCGTGAAGATCCGGTGTAGAATAGATCTTCAGCAACCCTATTCTTGCCGTAAAAGGCGACTATGCTTGTCGTAAGAGGCGACTAACGGGATCGGGTGGTCAGGCTTGCTGACTTGGTTGATGTATGTCATCGTTTCCCAATTGCGTGGATCGATGCTCATGATGTCAATCACTGGAATGTCTGGTCGATTATTTACATAAAGTCATATAGCTGGGATATTGCTGAGTGCGGCGTTAATCAAACAAACAAACAAGCAAACAAAGCTAGATTTATAGATTTAGATGTGTTTTAGTTACATACAATAATTATACGCCTGGGGCCTTCATTCAGTGATACCGCCTCCGTGGTCTAGTGGGAGAGCGGCCGCGTCATACCAAAAGACGTTAAAAGATGGTACTTGTTGTTACCCAACATGGCGCTCGGCATTAAGGGGTTAAAGCAAGGACTGGTCGGCTCGGAGTCAGTACACTGTGTCTGAGTGGGGTATTCATGTTAAACTGGGCCATGGTATCTCAGTGGGCAAGCACTATAAAATCGGCATTAGTCCGGACTAGTACAAGCAGCCACACACACATACACGTACATGCACGTCTCAAAAAAGTGCAAAAAATCTTGATCGGGACGTTAAACCCCATTTCACCTCACCTCATTCACTGAGTAACACACACATAGACTGTTTTTGTTTAAACTACTTCACAAAAAATAACAGAAGAGAAGTAACAAAACTAATATACCGCAGAAATATACACGTAATTATCTTTTGAAATATGAACTCGTTTATTTCGTGAGCTGTGGTTTGACTCTATTTCACCCATGACCACGTGCACGAAATCCACCAAAATATGTTTTTATAAAATACTTTTAGTACATAACAATTTTACCCTCATTGTTTAAAAGTACACTTAAGAATGGCTCCGTACCGAACATATGTAGCTGATATCAGTTCCATATCTCGCTGTCTCTCATTTAAATTCATATACCGTCCAGTCACGAATGCCTTTCCGTAATTTGCAATTATCACCCTATTCATCATTCAATAATGACACTGTTTATGCACTATACTTTCGCTGACATTTCAATTTCAACTTAACCAAGATAATTTCAGCTCATCGCTCCGTCTGCGGAATGATATAATGAAAATGTTAATCACAGTCCCCGAAGCTCTTTGAATGTCAAGGGATAATCTTTTCAAACTTATGAAAAAAATGCAAACATTGAACAATTAACCCTGAAAATGGCAGTGATTTGCTGCTTTAAAAACGTGTGAATGACCCATGTGCTTGGTGCTTCGTTCTTGTCAATTTCAAACCCTTCAATCATGAAATGAAATTGACATTTATTATCTAATAGACAATAAGCATGCACGATGACTCATCGGCGAATACAATGAGATCTAAATACGAATCGTGAAATTATTTATGATTGGGGTATTTGAATAATAAATATATCTCTGTTTGTTGAAAATGAATTTTAATGATCCTAACTTGCGCAATTTTCTCTAAAATTAGCTGTGCCACATACCACGGGTTATGCGAATTGGCTGTAAGAGGTGGTACGAGTCCTATCATAAAGATAGACGTTTATGACTGCTAATGTTAATACCTAGAGGACATATAATTGTAGGGAGGCATTTAGGAATAGTTCGCGCAGCTAGTTATTTATTCATTATTTTTTTATTTACGTCCTGTAATAATGCGCCCCTCGAGGAGACAGATAATTATCATTATTCTCAGAATTCACAATTTCCACTACATTTACCTCGTCTTATATATTTGACTTTAACGGTTAATAATAATAATAATAATAATAATAATAATAATAATCGAAGTCACCTCCTGCTGCCCCTTGTCTTAAATATTTAACTTTAATGGTAAATAATAATAATAATCATCATCATCATCACCTTCTGGTGCCCCTGCGAATACATCTCATGCACTCTAACATGCTCCAAATTATAATTATTAAAATAATCGAAATTTGTATTCGCGGACACCGGGTGTCTTCACTGTTTGATAGTGAATCATAAACATGTTTATTGTTTAGTCGGAATCGTACAATGGAATCGTACAATGGACAATGCTTCGTTAGTCGCTGTTATTCATGGACTACTATACGTAACCGGGTCCTGTCAACACAATGTTTGGTGGCTTGAAAGTGTGAAAGATCCCTTGACGTTGGTCTGTTTTTAATGGCGAGATTTTCTTTGGATCTGGCTGTTCTGGTTTTGGCTTAAACTTAGGATGAATCGACTCTTCGCACAATTCTTTGAAGTGTTTTTTCAACAAATATGGAGAGTGTCCCGGAATAGTAGGTATAACATGTATAATAACCTGTGGCCCACCTGTCCTTCACGCGTGTGTTGATGTGTCCTGATGTGTGTTTGATGTTTCAGGGGGAAAGAGTTTTCTTGTCATGCGGACATGGGAGGATTCGGGTGATGACGTCAGACAAGACACAGAGGAAAACAGCAACGATAAAAATCATAATCAGACACCCAAAAAGCCTCGTCACAGGTACGGTTTTACATTCTTCTTCTTCTTCTTCTTCTTATTATTATTATTACCGCCAGCTCTCGAAGTGAAATGCTTTAATATTGATATATTTGCAATCATTATTCATTTCCAAGAAACCGCCGTCATATAGCTGGAATATTGCTGAGTGCGGCGTTAAACAACAAACCAACCAACAACCATTTCCAAGAAACGTATTCTGATCAAGTGGTTTTTGGCGCACAGCGAGTTGCGTCTCTTTGTTACACCAGGATGCACTTGTTGCGAGCTCGGATTCCAGCTTCGCCCCGATTATTATCTCAAGAGCGTCATACCATTTCCGTGTTGTGTGTTTTTTCACCCGATCGCGAACTGCGCCACGTTGATCTTTCCTTCCTCATTTAAGCTGACACGCCGTAATCAGAATTATTTTTCAAAGTGGCTTTAAACCCAACTCACTCACTCACTCACTCTGTGTTCTTCTCCAGGACAACTTTCACGCCGTATCAGCTGGAGGAGATGGAGAAGGCGTTCCGCAGAGCTCCTTACCCGGATGTTGTGACGCGGGAGGAGCTCGCGCAGAGACTGGGGCTTCACGAGACTCGCGTACAGGTAAATTTATCTGTCGATCTTTCCTGTCCCTACCGGAAGCAAGACCCCTTTAATTATCCAGGGTATTGCACCTGCCTTTTAATGTAAACAAAACAAGTATTGGCGTCACAATATTCATCACAACGTACGTCCGATTATTAAATTTTGAGTGACCTGAGGCAACCGAGGTGACCACATTTCTTGCAATCAGGGTTGACAAGATTCAACCAGGGTTAACCAGTGAGAGAGTGAGTGAGTATGGTTTTACGCCGCTTGTAGCAGTATTCCCGCAATATCACGGCGGGGGACACCAGTAATGGGCTTCACACATTGTAGCCATGTCGGGAATCGAACCCGGGTCTTCGGCGTGACGAGCGAACGCTTTAACCACTAGGCTACCCGACCGCCCCTAATATTCTTGAGAAACCGGTACCCGACCGCCCCTAGTTATCCAGTGTTAATTAAACATAAATAAAACGCATAAAATACAACGTTACCGGCAAAATACAACATAGATGGCTGGAGAAGAAGAAACGCAACAGCCATATGTTTTGCTACAACACACACCTATGAGAGGTTAACAAGTGTTTCACTACTCGACAAATGTTCCATTGCATCTTTTCTATTTAATGTTAGTAAAACGACAAAAAAGTTCAATAACGCGTGGGACAAAGAGAGATGCAATATCACCGCCAAAGTTGCATTGTTCATTCCAAAACATTTATATCAACAATCAGAAGTTAAATAGCCCTGACGCACATCAGAATAAATATATACTCTCAATACCAAGTGAATTATATTCATTATTATGGTTTTATTCATGATTGAATCAATAAATAAAACTAATTATCTTTAACAATAACGTCACATGGAGGCTTCTGACCAGAGTCCCACACCCCAAGGGTTCAGAAGGTATGGGCAACTTAGAGCAACCGAAGAAGGACGTAAATGAGTTCACGCGTGCTTACATTGGTCAATCAAGGTTAACGTGGGTCATAACTTGGGTCAACGCGGGTTCAACAGGATCATCCAGGGTTTTGAAATCGAACACAATCCCTTTCATAGTAAAATAGGTTTGATTGTTTTACTTGTTGTTTAACGCCGCACTCAGCAATATTCCAGCTATATGACGGCGGTCTGTAAATAATCGAGTCTGGACCAGAAAATCCAGTGATTGACATCATGAGGATCGATCTACACAATTGGGATACGATGACATGCATCAACCAAGTCAGCGAGCCTGACTACCCGATCCCGTTAGTCGCCTTTTACGACAAGCATAGTCACCTTTACGGCAAGCATGGGTTGCTGAAGACCTATTCTACCCCGGATCTTCACGGGTCCTATTAGTGAGAACGGTAACTCGCGACAGTACGCTACCGACGTTATAACGGCGGCTTTGGTTTCGAGTACATCATTATCACGATAATACACGTTCACATGTATTCTTTGTATCAATTTGGAGGAATGTGAATGATCGACTCGCAACACATATGTGTAGATAAATCCACTTTTCGCTGTCTTTGCCATAATACACTGCACACACTTACACACTACCTACAATAAGGCCAAACGTTATGTGTCGCTTTCAATATAAATTATTTCAAATACTGTAATAAGAACTTTTGGAAGATTTATCTTACAAAGTTCGAAACAACGAATTATGAAGAATATAAAAAAAGGTTTCGGACAACCGACTTTAATCTTTGTGGCCAAATAGCCGTAAACTTAAAACTGGCGCACTAAAAAAACATATCATTTGTTGTAGACTATATTTTAATGTAATTTAATTTTTAAACGTTCCAAGAAGGGAATACAAACAAGAAGACTATATTTGTGGTTATTTTGCAGGTGTGGTTCCAGAACAGACGGGCAAAATGGAGGAAAGGGGTGGCACCGAAAGTCAGCGTGTCCCCGTGTGAAGGTAAATCTTATATGAAGCGTAGCAAAATGAGGTATCATGTGCACATCCAGTGGTATGACGGCGGTCTGTAAATAATCGAGTCCGGACCAGACAATCCAGGGATGGACATCATGAGCGTCGATCTACGCAATGGAGATACGATGACATGCATCAACAAAGACAGCGAGCCTGACCACCCGATCCCGTTTAGTCGCTTCTTAAGACAAGCATGGGTTGCTGAAGACCAATTCTAAACCGGATCTTCACGAGTCTCAGTGTGAAGGAAGATGTTATATATGAGAGTGCCAGTGAGGTGACCATAATCCCCGTGGGGAATCAAGGGTGCAATATCACCCAGCATCCCATGCCTTTAGGATCCGGTGGTCACAATGTTTGACCTGGTTCATCCTGTGACCAACATCGTCGCTCATACTATCAACCACTGGTATACCAGTCATCGACTCGATTTTCAAGACGCTTAAATTATGCATAGTACATTGAACAGTCACACCTCCCCTCAGAGATGATGTTGAAGGTCATCTCCAAACTCTAGGTATTGTAGAATGTCATGCAACCCGGCTTGCTTGGGTTGAGTCAAATAGTTCCTCTTATTGTTGTTATTATTATTATTATTATTATTATTATTATTATTATTAAAACCGGTCAGTAGATCAGCGTGCACTCGATTGGGGAATATAAAACCCTAGCTGACTCTCGAAGGTTAACAGTCACATTACCATACTACCGGGTACCCACTTACTGCTGGGTTATCAGAGGCATATTTCGAATAAAATCACTTGACTGAGGTGCTGAACACGGTCACCCGTCCAAGGACTTTTTGCGACCAACGTTCCTTAACGTCACCTCATGACCATCTCCCACCATGTTTATCCATGCATCGAATCTTGACAAATGGAACCATTATATTTCAACCTTTGCCATTTCAGGCCCTGAAGAAAGAAAATCGATGCCAGTCCCAGTGTCCGACATCCCACCCCTGAGAGACCAGCCCCCGTCTGCCTCCCCCTGGAGTCCCTGGACGCTCCCCGGGGGGTACATCTGGTATGCAGGCTGGATGCCGGGGTCCCCGTCCTGCTCATGGTCACCGCCACCAGGGTGCGCTTTACCGGAATCACGTGGTCCCTGTCACATGACCGACCTTCGCGGTGGTCTCAAACTGCCCAGAACGAGGCCAGAAGGTCGGAATCCCCTCGCGTACGTCACGTAGACGTGCTTATCTTGTAAATGTACAATAAGTTATTTAGCAATGGGACAGTGGAATATTAATATAAAATGCCTTGGGTATGAACGTCGTCCTAGGACTTCGTACACTATTTGCATATTGTGTACATTTTGTAAATTTGTAAATATGTTTTTGATAGGAATGTTTAGTGTTCAATTGTTGTTCATTGACGCAACATTGTAACAGCTGTGCATCGCCGCCTGTGCCTTCAACGTGCCTTATTTGTATGAATTGTACATACGCTGTAAATACACTGATTGTATTGTTGCTACACAAACACACACCAGTACGAAGATTAATATATGACACCGCACTCCCTAGACGCTTTTCAAATGCAAATATCCAGTCAAGTCATATATATATACGTTCCCCGTGAAGATCCGTGTTAGAGTAGGTCTTCAGCAACTCATGCTTGTCGTAAGAGGCGACTAACGGGATCGGGTGGTCAGGCTGGTTGACTTGGTTGATGCATGTCATCGTATCCCAATTGCCTGTTTTACAGACCACCGTCATATAGCTAGGAGAGAGAGAAAGAGAGAGAGAGAGAGAAATTTTTTTCGGACTAACTTGTTCAGCTACATCTGCTAAACCAGACATTTCTTTTATTTAAACTATGAGCCTATATTTCTTTAAAAAAATGTATTTTTGTGGCTCACAATTTCCTTTTTTAACAGTCAGAAGCACCATTATGTTTTTTTACTTATCAGTGTATTTGTAGGTGGTTGTTTAACTTATCCTTTCTCAGTCGGTAAACATTTACGACATGCGTAAAACTTTCTCCAACATTTAATAAAAGAGATGCTGGCAAAGTCGCCGCAGTTTTCTGTGAACAGTTGGGCCCACTCCCTTGGGAGCGCCAGAACTCGTGGGTTCGAATCCAAGATTTGTGCTGAGTATATTTCCAGGTTTGTCAGGGCCATATCAGTGCTCAATGGTTCTCAGACCTGCAATATGTCAGTCTTTCCTACCACATTTAGCTTACGCACCGCAATGTAACTAAAATTATCACACTCACTCACTCACTCACTCTGTATCCTGTACTGAAACAGTACTCACACACGACCACTCAACCCCACTCCCGACACATGCACCACCCAACCCGACCCCCGACACATACCCCCACCCAGCCCCACCCACGGGGAATACACACTGTCTTGTCAGTGTCTTGTATGTTCAGTATTCCATGTATGTCTGTGTAATGAACTACCACTTGTACGTGTGTGTGCCTGTGATCAGTGGATTCAATCGTGCCAAATCTCCAGTATTGCCAAACCCTAAAGTGTCTTAGTGATTGTGTAATAAAGATTGTATATACAACCCACCCTGGGTGTTGAATGTTGTTTGCTAGTACAGATGTATGTAGCGGTAGTTTTAAGGGCGACAATGGAACACAAAAAGATTTTATCAATGCCCGTTGTTCATGTCGTAAAGTAATAAGGTGAGGTGAAATGGGGTTTAACGTCGCGTCCAAGATTATTGCACTTATATAGCGACGTGCATGCGCGTGTGTTTGTGGCTGCTCGTACTAGTCCGGACAGATGCCGATTTATAGTGCTAGCACACTGAGATACCATGCCGCAGTTTAACATGAATACCCCACTCAGACACAGTATACTGACACCGAGCCGACCAGTCCTTGTTTTAGCCCTTTAATGCCGAGCGCCAGACAGGGTAACAACAAGTACCATCTTTTAACGTCTTTTGGTATGACGCGGCCGGGGATCGAACCCCGGACCTTCCGCTCTCCGGGCTGACCCTCTACCACTAGACCGCGGAGGCGGTCCGTAAAGCAATTAAGTACACTGAACAAAGACATAAGGGATCATAGATATTTGGGGATATATTTATGAAATTGGAAGCTCAGTCTTCACTATATCCCCTAAAATATTCACGATCTCTTAGTTTTTCGTTCAGTATATCTAATGCCCCCCTTTCACTGTCCCGAATCACCCCGAATCGGCAAGTTTCGAAATTCGTGATGATTCGGCAAATAATGTAAACTTACGTGGAGAATCGGTAGGAGGTACGAAGCAGTTACGACAAACGTACGACGGAGTTACGAAAACTCGTGGCTAATCGGGTTGAACAATATGAAGAATGCCAGGAATGGGTTAAGAAACATGTACGAATTACAAGATTCATGTACGGGCCATGCACGAATTGTAAGAATCACCTACGACTAAGTTACGAATATGCCGCATGCATGTACGAATGCAGGACGATCGCAACGAATAAGAAACGACTAATACGACATATTTACGAATAGTTTGCGAAAATCGGTACTTCTCCTGACACTTCGGCATGTTCTTGGGTCCAGCAAGGCTAAAAAGCCCCCGGTCGCTGGCCAACCATTCATTTCCACCATTATTGTTGTTCTTACTTAATTCTTACATGATACGTAGTTGACTCGGGACATTCGTGGCTGTTTCGGGATGTTTTCGGGTTGAGGACAAGACATTTTGGGAGCCACGAATCGCTAAGAATGCAAAAGAATCGATTACGAAGCTGTTAGGGAACATAAGAATTCATTACAAATGGATTACGATACAGCCACGAAATTGCAATTCGGGGACCCTTCAACGAAAGTTTTTGACAAACAAACTTTTTCGACGATTCGACGAACTCATGCCAACTGTACGAATGTTTGGGAATCAAATAAGAGTCATTTAAGAACTTCAAGAAATGATTGAGATTTATTTACGAACATGAAAAATTTCCTGTTCGGGTGATTCGAGATATTCGTGGTCGTAGTGAAATGGGGGCATAATATCAATCGTTGAAATCACCCGATAGTTGCACTCAAAAATGTAATTAAGATCTCTATAGGAAACATTAATACATCTAGGATCCACTTGTGCCTACTGGAAAAAGTTTTGCAAATTTTGTTATCTTTGCGGGCATTGAAAAAAGTTCAAATACTAAAGTTCAGTACAGTTCAGTTTGAACGGTGGTACGTAATAGAGTATTCAAATGTAAAATGAGTGAGTGAGTGAGTGAGGATGGTTTTACGCCGCTTTAAGGAATATTCCAGCAATATCAGGGCGGGGGTCACCAGAAATGGGCTTCACACATTGTACCCAAGTCGGGAATCGAACCCGGGTCTTCGGCGTGACGAGCGAACGCTTTAACCACTAGGCTACCCGACCGCCCCCAAATGTAAAATGAGTGGACAGATGTTACTTAAAGCAGTTGTAAGGAATAAGATAATACTTCTTTTGAGAAAGTCGGTGGACATTGCCCTAAGCATATGGGTCTCCAGCTTGTTATATTCCGACTCACTTCCTGTTGATATGAAGGATCAAGGTTACTAGGGGTTACAGGTCATTTGAATCGGTGTACAAAATCACAAAAATAAAATAAATAGAGAACGTGTGTTCAGAAGATTTACCTGATACCTCCGTTTGGACAGCAAACACGCGGATCAGGGGAGTGTCGTCGCCACTCACCTTCTGGTTTTTTTCCGAGAGGACACGAGTAGTCACAGCCCACGAGGGGAAGTGTCATTGTGTGTGCGTGCGTGCGTGCGTACTTGCGTGTTCCAATTTCCTAGACATTAATGGTCATTCGGTGTGATTAGATTCATCATTATTCCTAATGTCGCTTTGTGACATTGTGATTATTATCGTTGGATTGACGAAATCAATTTCATATGGTAAAATTGTCGCTTCCGGCAGAGATCTTTGTCGCCTGACATTGGTAGCATAGATCAGTACAAGACGGGTCTCATTGCTCAGTGGTCCGTATTCAAGAAGTTTTATTGTGAAGACTAAAAATAGATGCCTTTGGTGACATAATTGACGATACAGTTATTGTATTCATATGCATATAATAAACAAATCACAATTTGTGAAAGACAACATCTTTACAAACAGATAGTTTATTTCATAATCAACCTTCTCCATTGGTGTCTACAGAGACACAAATACTACATCTAAGCACATCATTCTTATCAGTCTTGTGTAACACAGTTCACAGCTTCATCTATGTACAAGTAATTATAGATATATTGTATTGATATTGATCATTTATTGCCGTCCCTTGTTATGGGATTGTGTTAAAATGCACACAACACACTCTCGTCTCAATCCTACATGTCTTAAGAATTCTGTTTAAGAATTGACTTCAATATTTTTGGCTTTTATGGCATTAACGTTAAACACATATTGAAGTCAATTCTTATCAATAAATACTTCAACAATGACAACTTCATATGCAAAACAACAATTCGAATCCGTGACATCGTTCTGCGCAACAAAAGGATATGGGGTAGCCTGGTGGTAAAAGCGTTCGCTTGTCACGCCGAAGACCCGGGTTCGATTCCCGACATGGTACAACGTGTGAAGCCCATTTCTGGTGTCCCCCGCCGTGATAATGCTTGAATATTGCTAAAAGCGGCGTAAAACCATACTTATTCTCTCAGCGCAATAATGCAAAAGAAACCCCGCTTTGTCTTTTTTCAATTACAGTAAAGTACGGTTATAACGAACTCAAAGGGACTACTAATTTTAGATCGTTATAACCGTAGTTCGTTATAAGCATATATACAGCATAGCTACTGCAAATAGTCGGGACCAAAAACGTAAGTTCATTATAAGCGTGATCGTTATAACCGCAGTTTACTGTAGGAAACAGTATTCTGTTAGTGGGCGTGGCCTGTTGTGATATATGGACAAATAAACGGCCCAAATTTGCTTGGTTAACCAAATACTCCGGAGTCACTTACAGTGAAGATTACGAAGATTTCGTCCAAGGTTTCACTGCAATCAAGACTCGTTTCAATCGTCACTCTTCGACCCTTTCCGTAACCGCCACTCGTCTTTCGATCTAACCAAAGAGAAGGCGAGTGATCACGATCCTCGCGGCCTGTTCAGAAATCTGATTGTCTCGGAATGATACGAACTGACACGAATGGCACGATCTACACCAGGGGGAGAAGTTATTGTATATGATTTCATGGATAATCAAACATGCATTGAAAATTCCTGCGGTTACTGGTGTAACCTTAAGGCACACCATTCAGCACTGTGCATTTTGTATTTGCTATAGGTCATTTCTATCCAACTGTGAACCTAAAGGCAGCCATCAAACGCACATTTCAAGCGCTGCTTTAATTCTCAAACGAGGCTGACATTATTGTTTTATTCTGGGCGTCAATGGGTTTTCTAACCTTAATGTCATGGACGAGATGTTCATAAACAATATATGACACTGTGACACTGTGACGTATATAGGTCACATGCTACTTATGGTCATGCGGTCTTTGGGTTACGGTCGATGTCTTCCTTTAGCTATCCTTTACAGGAGTGAACGAGTGAGTGAACTGGGTTAAAGGACGCTGTAACCAGTTATGGGATGTTATGTGGGATGGAAACCCCTAAAAGATGCAGGGCGTGGACATTTATTGCTTTGGTGAAACAGGGGTATGTTTCTGACAGACCAAGACACAAAATCAAGCGAATTTAAGATTCGACCCACGATTGTCGAGACGACTGGCTTGGTTAGGGGACACAACTCTAAACTGAAAACTGTGGCGCTTATGACGACAGGACCTCCTGCCCGGCTACAACAAGAACACAAATTAGTTTTCAATTTAAAAAACACCCCACCCCAGACTATCACATGGTCGGTCCTTGTAATGTTATGTAATATTTATAAGTCACCGTATAGTGGAGGTTAACCATATGGCAGACAAGTATGATTGTCTTAACGAACGAAGTTGGTTGGTTGGTTGGTTTGTTGTTTAACGCCGCACTCAGCAATATTCCAGCCATACGACAGCGGTCTGTAAATAATCGAGTCTGGACCAGACAATCCAGCGATTAACATCATGAGCATCGATCCACGCAATTGGGATCGATGACATGCATCAACCAAGTCAGCGAGCCTGACCACCCGATCCCGTTAGTCGCCTTTTACGACAAGCATAGTCACCTTTTACGGCAAGCATGGGTTGCTGAAGACCTTTTCTACCCCGGAATCTTCACGGGGTCTAACGAACGAAGTATTCAGTTAAGGGTAACTGGACTAATTAAGTTGTTATTGCCAGTGTTATTTACATAGCAACATGCAGGTTCTGCCATCAGTTGAGACTGGAATGTTTTTGTTGTTTGTCCATTTCGCGTATCTGTTGTGACATAACGCATATTAACCAATAAGTTAATAAATTACATATTCACAAATATTACGAAATATTCATCATCATATTATATTGCTGAAGTAGCATCGACACTGCAAGTAGATGCACATGTTGATAATTACAGATTTATCGCATTATAGTGAGTGAGTGAGTATGGTTTTACGCCGCTTTAGCAATATTCCAGCAATATCACGGCGGGGGACACCACAAATGGGCTTCACACATTGCACCCATGTCGGGAATCCAAACCGGGTCTTCGGCGTGACGAGCGAACGCTTTAACCACTCGGCTACCCGACAGCCCCTTATCGCATTATATGTAATGTCTATAAATAATCATTCATTCAATGTTGCTGAAACACTTTTCACAAATAATTTACATCGATGGAATGTCTTATTTATCTACAATATTGTTCAAATGACTCTTCGCCCATGTAGATGAAATGAATTCTTGACATAAGGCATCCTTAAGAGAAGAACAAAGCTTAAGGCGAGACACCTTCGTATTGCTGTGGTCGATTTAAATCGACAAAATGGCCGGATGAAACGATGACGTTAAAACGAGGTTCAACTGCTTGTACGTGTGATAGAGTACAACATACATAACACGGATCGTGGTTGCCTTGGCAGCTTGCTTTTCCATCTCAGAGTCCTTCGGAAGACATCCGAAGATCATGGATTGGGAAGCGATTTTCAACGTTTCTTACAATTCTTTTGGCAACAAATTACAGACTTTCAGGAGCCGTGCTACATCACGGCCGTCAAAATATGACGTCACAATGTCATGTGCGGCATAATGATCAATATCATAATTGTGCCACGACGCCAACAGAAGGTTGATAGCCGACTCGTCGTATCTGTGACAGTTGGCGTACTTGTTAGACTTGGGGTAGAGGTTGAGGTTACACTTCTTCTGGGATCCTGGCGGAGCCATACAATACTCCTCCAAGGCACACTGCACCAGCCATCTTGTGAAGAAATGTTTGAGATGAGCCGAGTTGTGCATGATCATCATATTGATTTCCACGTGTTGCAATCGGAGCATCTTACGCACGTCGATCGCCAGGTAGTAATACATCTCGGGGTTGGTCACCACGGCGGTTGAGTAGCTCTTGAGGGGGCCGAACATGGCGGCACCTCCTTTACGCGACAGGGCGAAGTGACCCCGGAGGTCAACGCCTTTCTTCATGAACCTCATTGGCTCCACGAAGACAAAATGGCCGAATCTGTTGAGTGCGCTCTGAAATATATAAATGTAAATTATGTTAACAGCAAACTATATTTGTAATGCTTTGTTGAAGGAGATGATTGTAGGGTATAGTCAAATATGTGCAACATAAGGGCCCGGTTGCACAAAGCGACCGCAGCGGAACGACTATCAAACGCCAATGATGATGTAGACGACAGTCGAATCACTGCGATGGAGTGTGGAACACGGCACATAATTAGTAGTGAATTGGGTTTGTTTGTTTGTTTGTTGTTTAACGCCGCACTCGGCTATATTCCAGCTATATGACGGCTGTCTGGACCAGGCAATCCAGTGATTGACATCATGAGCATCTATCTACGCAATTGGGATACAATGACATGCATATCAACTATGTCAGCGAGCCTGACCACGAGTCAGTCGCCTCTTACAACAAGCATGTAGTTGAAGATCTATTACAATACATATCTGGGCGGGCATTTCCAATATTTAATAGCACTCAGATAGAAAAAAGTGAAACAAAACTCTAAATTAAGACTGCAATGAACAGAGAAAACAAAACTGAACGCAAGTTGAAACCGAAAGAAGAACATCACTCATTATCACTTTATGTGAAAAAATCGTTAGCTTTTGAAATACGGATGTATAGGATCAGTCTATATCCGACCGACTCGGGGTCACTCGGCTTATTCCGCTGCCAACGGGCAGCTTTGGCGTAGTGATATTGCATGAACTCAATGTGAACCGTGAAACGCCAGATCCCGCCGCATATAGTCCGTCACATACACGAAACGTTCTTAAACGGATTCTTGCTGGAGTCAGTCAGTGCTGGTCGAGGTCGGAGTGTATCCGACGTTAAGTATGTGTGTGGACACCATGGTAATCCGTATGTTCTGAGATTTGTAATCCGTGATATACTTTTCATATTTATTTTGACTGTTCTTTTATAACAAACTCAAAAACACTATGACTATGAGTATGGTAAACGGGCGATCTGTTATCCAGCTATACGGACAATAAAACATGACGAAAATACAGTGACCTAGGTTTTACTCTTTCAGGCCAGAGTGAGGCCAGCAACATTACGATCACTCGTTAGTCCGGACCTGTTTGCCCTGAAACTCATCTTCCGAACGATCTTGTTGGAAACCCGTTAGCCCTGAATCCAACCCTAAGGACGATCTTGCTAAAAACCCGTAAGCCTAGAAACCAATCTTCCCAACGATCTTGTTGGAAACCCGTTAGCCCTGAAACCAACCCTATGAACGATCTTGTTGGAAACCCGTTAGCCCTGAAACCAACCCTATGAACGATCTTGTTGGAAACCCGTTAGCCCTGAAACCAACCCTATGAACGATCTTGTTGGAAACCCGTTAGCCCTGAAACCAACCCTATGAACGATCTTATTGGAAACTCGTTTGCCCTGAGACCATCCATCTGAACGATCTTATTGGAAACCCGTTAGTCCTGAAACCAACTTTCCGAACAATCTTTCGGAAACCCTATGTTGACCCAAAACGAAACTAGTTCGTTACCATCATTCGTCAATCCAGATATATGATAATCTGGACGACTCTACGGATATCAGTAGCGTCCGGATTAACGAGGTTTCACTGTATATAACATCGAGCACAGCCTATCAACCAATTGGTTCATTTCTTTTGGATGAGTCTAAATGTCAACACAAATCTAGAGAATAACCACTCTCGATTATCTGCCGAAACATATTCCATAGTAACGGCCGAATAGTGATGACAATTATAAGAATTCACCAGATGTACGCGAAAATGTTAAGGATGTCCTCTTCTCCTCCTCTAAGTCAAGATTCTTCTCTGTAAACATCTGTCCATTGTAAGGTCCGTATACTATTAAAGTGCTTTCAATAAATGTGCAACTTACATCCAAGACAATTGGCCTCCAGAACTTTTCATCCTGCTTTTCAAGTATATGTTCTGGATACAGCGTCAATATGTTGGGCATCAATTCTACACTGCAGAGTTCTCTAATCTGGAGAACACAAAAAATACAAATAATATTTTCCATAAAAAAATTCATATTGTTTTCCATAATAGCTGAGTCACCTAAGTCCACACAATCATTGTTCTTGGGCTTAAAAATGTATCTAGGGAGTGAGCATTGCTATCATCGTTCAAGCTATTCGTGAGTGAATGGTGAGTGAGTAAGTGAGTTGGGTTTAACGGCGCTTTTAACAGTATTCCAGCCATATCACGTCTTGTCAGCTTAATTGGGAGGAAAGCCCGAAGGGATGCAGGTTTCTGACGTTTACCACTTTGGTGAAACCCACTAGCACGGGTATGGTGCTGACAAACCTAGAAACATAATCGGGGCGAACCGGGATTCGAACCCACAATCATAGGTTTCTGGCGCGCCCAAAGGACGCAACTCTGCACAGCGACCTGGGACCCCTGTCTATTACTAGTCAGACTTGAACAAGGGCGTGTACCTGTCTACTAGTCAGACGTTTCTTGGGGCGTGTACCCGTCTCCTAGTCCGACTTTAACAAGGGGCGTGTACCTGTCTACTAGTCAGACGTTAACAAGGGGCGTCTACCTGTCTACTAGTCAGACTGGAACAAGGGGCGTCTACCTGTCTACTAGTCAGACTTGAACAAGGGGCGTCTACCTGTCTACTAGTCATACTTTAACAAGGGGCGTGTACCTGTCTACTAGTCAGACGTTTCTTGGGGCGTGTACCCGTCTCCTAGTCAGACTTTAACAAGGGGCGTGTACCTGTCTACTAGTCAGACGTTAACAAGGGGCGTCTACCTGTCTACTAGTCAGACTGGAACAAGGGGCGTCTACCTGTCTACTAGTCAGACTTGAACAAGGGGCGTCTACCTGTCTACTAGTCAGACTTGAACAAGGGGCGTCTACCTGTCTACTAGTCATACTTTAACAAGGGGCGTCTACCTGTGTACTAGTCAGACTTGAACAAGGGGCGTCTACCTGTCTACTAGTCAGACTTGAACAAGGGGCGTCTACCTGTCTACTAGTCAGACGTAAACAAGGGGCGTCTACCTGTCTACTAGTCAGACGTTAACAAAGGGCGTCTACCTGTCTACTAGTCACACTTGAACAAAGGGCGTCTACCTGTCTACTAGTCAGACTTGAACAAGGGGCGTCTACCTGTCTACTAGTCAGACTTGAACAAGGGGCGTCTACCTGTCTACTAGTCAGACTGGAACAAGGGGCGTCTACCTGTCTACTAGTCAGACTTGAACAAGGGGCGTCTACCTGTGTACTAGTCAGACTTGAACAAGGGGCGTCTACCTGTCTACTAGTCAGACTTGAACAAGGGGCGTCTACCTGTCTACTAGTCAGACGTTAACAAGGGGCGTCTACCTGTCTACTAGTCAGACTTGAACAAGGGGCGTCTACCTGTCTATTAGTCAGACTTTAACAGGGGGCGAGTAACTGTCTACTAGTCAGACTTGAACAAGGGGCGTGTACCTGTCTACTAGTCACACTTGAACAAGGGGCGTGTACCTGTCTACTTGTCAGACTTTAACAAGGGGCGTCTACCTGTCTACTAGTCACACTTGAACAAGGGGCGTGTACCTGTCTACTAGTCACACTTGAACAAGGGGCGTCTGCCTTACTACTAGTCAGACGTTAACAAGGGGCGTCTACCTGTCTACTAGTCACACTTGAACAAGGGGCGTGTACCTGTCTACTAGTCACACTTGAACAAGGGGCGTCTACCTGTCTACTAGTCAGACTTGAACAAGGGGCGTCTACCTGTCTACTAGTCATACTTTAACAAGGGGCGTCTACCTGTCTACTAGTCAGACTTTAACAAGGGGCGTGTACATGTCTAATAGTCAGACTTGACCAAGGGGCGTGTACCTGTTTACTAGTCAGACTTGAACAAGGGGCGTCTACCTGTCTACTAGTCAGACTTGAACAAGGGGCGTGTAACTGTCTACTAGTCATACTTTAACAAGGGGCGTGTAACTGTCTACTAGTCAGACGTTAACAAGGGGCGTGTAACTGTCTACTAGTCAGACCTTAACAAGGGGCGTGTAACTGTTTACTAGTCAGACTTTAACAAGGGGCGTGTAACTGTCTACTAGTCATACTTTAACAAGGGGCGTGTAACTGTCTACTAGTCAGACGTTAACAAGGGGCGTGTAACTGTCTACTAGTCAGACTTTAACAAGGGACGTCTACCTGTCTACTAGTCATACTTTAACAAGGGGCGTCTACCTATGAACTAGTCATACTTTAACAAGGGGCGTCTACCTGTCTACTAGTCAGACGTTAACAAGGGGCGTCTACCTGTCTACTATTCAGACTTTAACAAGTCGTGTCTACCTATGAACTAGTCATCCTTTAACTAGGGACGTGAAACTGTCTACTAGTCAGACGTTAACAAGGGGCGTGTACCTGTCTACTAGTCAGACGTTAACAAGGGGCGTCTACCTGTCTACTAGTCATACTTTAACAAAGGGTGAGTACCTGTCTATTAGTCAGACGTTAACAGGGGGCGTCTACCTGTCTACTAGTCAGACATTAACAAGGGGCGTCTACCTGTCTACTAGTCAGACGTTAACAAGGGGCGTCTACCTGTCTACTAGTCAGACGTTAACAAGGGGCGTCTACCTGTCTACTAGTCACACTTGAACAAGGGGCGAGTACCTGTCTACTAGTTAGACGTTAACAAGGGGCGTCTACCTGTCTACTAGTCAGACGTTAACAAGGGGCGTCTACATGTTCATTCAGTTAATGTATTTACTACAATTTAGCGGATTTAAATTATAATTCCTCCTGAAATGAAGCGTCGTGGAAATGATCTTGGAGCACGTGCTCTGATACCGTGGTTCTATTTGTGTTCGGGATTTTGGGTACTCAGAATCTGACGAATAGCTGTTAAATCAATGATGTAGTGAAACAATAATTATACATTCGCTGATTCTGGAACTTAGATACAGTAAACTACGTTTATAACGAACAAGCTTATAACGAACTGACCGATATAACGAACTTAATTTTAGTCCCGGCCATTTGTGGCATATATGCTGTCTATATGCTTAAAACGAACTTCGATTATTACGAACTAAAATTAGTGGTCCCTTTTAGTTCGCTATAACCGTAGTTTACCGTATATGTATATTATGAAATGACGCAAGATGTTATAAGTACTACAAGAAAGGTATGTGCATGAGTCTCAAGCTACAATTAATGACATTAGGTCACAACAAACTGTTTATGCGTACATTGTAATATCATCATCCCTTTTTTTTAACAAAAACTACATGGTCACCCCAAATGAGTAGATTATAATATTTAGGCAGTGAAGTACACCGTTACCTAAACGTGGCTGGTGTATGGGCATAACTAATAAAATCTATTCAAGCTTCATGCATAGAAGGACCGCCTCCGTGGTCTAATGGTAGAGCGTCCGCCCGGAGAGCGGAAGGTCCGGGGTTCGATCCCCTGCCGCCTCATACCAAAAGACGTTAAAAGATGGTACTTGTTGTTACCCTGTCTGGTGCTCGGCATTAAGGGGCTAAAACAAGGACGGGTCGGCTCGGAGTCAGTATACTGTGTCTGAGTGGGGTATCCATGTTAAACTGCGGCACTATAAATCGGCATCAGTCCGGACTAGTACAAGCAGTCACACAAACACGTACATGCACGTCGCTATATAAGTGCATTAATCTTGGACGCGACGTTAAACCCAATTTCACCTCACCTCACCTCGTGCATAGAAGTGATAGAACTCTTAAAATATATCACCAGTTTTGACACTTTGATCATCTGCTGATCCACCAGTTAATGGTGTGTTATGATCGATGTGCCAATTATCGAAATTATTTTTGGAAGTTATATCATCGGTGATCTTTTAAGACAAATAACCAAGACTTTATAAAACTGTTACATAAAAATGCAACAACATAATAGCAGACAAATTGAGACAACTGGAGACTTAATGCAAGTCAGCATATTTATACTCACATAAGAGGCCTCTTGTTGCGAGAGACCGATGTCAAATATACCTATGTCTGCTTTAGGGAAGTTGAACTGAACGCTATAAATAAACCTGAGCGCTCCCCCGTAGGTGTCGCTGTTCGCCGCTGTGACGAACGCAAAATCGTCTTCTGTTTCGTGGATGTGTTTGTCCTCTTTGACTTCAACTCTTGATTGATATTTGCTGACTTTTTCAAAGAACTCCTTCCTCCGCCGTATCTTATCTGCCGCTGTGTTCAGGTCATCGTGGTCGTCTCCAAACCCCTTTTGCAATTTTGGAATTTTGACGTTTTTATGATCTCCGATTCTGTCGATCTGCTTGTGAACATCCGGGTCTCCCTTCAGCGCAGCATCGTTGAGGTCTTTTAACATGTCTTCTCCGTCTTCCTCCTTTCCTTTCCACTTCATTTTCTTTACTTCCTCTTTCTTTCCATCCCGGTTAGCCTGGCCTCCGTCGAAGCTATCGTCCATCACGATTTCCATGACTTTCTTCGGTTCCACCTTCGGTTCTACTTTTGGTTCTAAGTCCTTGACCAATTTTGGCTCAATATCCGGAATCAGGTCAGGGTCATTTCTTTCTTGTCTTCTATTGTCTTCCTTTCTTTTCTCTTGCTCTCTATATTCTGCGGGCTCTTTTTTGTCGTTCCTTGTATATTTTTCGTTTCGTTTCCGTTTGTCTTCGTATTCCTCCTTTTTGTCGACATTCCTTTCATGTTCGTCTTCTCGTTGCTGTCGTTGTGCGTGCTGTCTGGGCTGCTGCTTTTTAACATCTTTGACCCATTGTTCATCTTCTACGTTTTGGGATTCGTCCTTGACATGTCGTGCCCTATCAGCATACTTGTGACCTTCACCTTTCACCTCTGTGTCGCTGTCCTTGAACTTATCTTTGTTGCGAGGGTGACGATCATAGTCATCTTTGTCTTTATCCTAAAAAAGACATGGACGTCCATATTTAATTAATAAATTCGTATAAGGCAATACAGAGGTAATATGTCTTTTGAGCGTCGTGAAAGTTTTGAAAACATACGACCAAATTTGAAATACATGTATAAAAAACCAGCACCATTAAACTTACAAAGTGCCACAGCACCTGTTCTTTGATGTGAGGATAGAGGGAGATGCTACAGTATGTTATACTAAACAAATAAACAAGAATGCACTTGAAGATTGGATTTGACCAAACAATTACAAACTTTATCAAAACGTTATATATTTAAAAGGGGAACGGGTGGCCCCGTCGTTGTCGGTGCCATAATTCGCCTTGCAGAGTTGCGTCCCTTGGGCACGCCAGAAACCTCTCGTCGTAGTTTCGAATCCTGGTTCGTCCCGATTATGTTTGTGTGTTTGTTAACACCATACCCGTGCTCGTGGGTTTCACCAAAGGGGTAAACCTGCCTCATCTCCCACATCAAGCTGACACGCCGTGATATAACTGAAACACTATTCAAACCCAATGCACTCACTCACAAGGCTAAAAACAGCCGCCTGACACTGCACAGACTACAGCACAACTATTATACCCGTATTTAATACATCATCATCGAAAACCATTTCGTCTTCGTTTCATATTTAGTCACCATAAAACATTAGTGTATAATTTCACTTTCCCGCTACCCGTGAAGATCCGGGTTAGAATAAGTCTCCAGCAACCCATGCCTGCCGTAAAAGGCGACTATGCTTGTCGTAAAAGGCGACTAAAAGCCTGACTTGGTTGATGTATGTCATCGTATCCCAAGCGCGTGGATTGATGCTCATGATGTCAATCACTGGATTGTCTGGTCCAGACTCGATTACTTACAGACCGCCGTCATATAGCCGGAATATTGCTGAGTGCGACGTTAAACAAGAAACAAACTAGTGTCAAAAGTGGCGTTATAAAGAATTTAGTGCGAATTTATCTGGTAATTGTTACTACTGAATGAAGCGCCACATATATATACCAAGATAGGCCAGCCAGTCAGTGACTGATCGATTTCAGCAACACTCGGAAACTACAGACTTAATCGGTACATGGCGAGTTAGAGGGTGTGAGAGACGCCACGCCCCAGGTACACGTAACGAAACTTACAGGTGTAAACTATTTATGAATGTAATGGGGATAATTGATCTGACTGTACGACCGTTGATGAACTGTACTGTAGACATTCATAATAAATCTTCCATGGGGGGTAGTTTCGTTCAGTGATTTCAAACCAACCATCAAGAATTATACTCGTGATCTCATACAAAGAGACACCCAGGTCGGAATAATTAAACGTCATGGGCAATTGGTCATTTCTATTTGGGTTGTCAGTCAAGACATGATGAGGTAATTTTTTACGATGTCGAATTGGCCTACCCACGAATATCTGCTTAAAACAGATTAACACAAATCTCCTTAGTGTATCCCTGGTGATGAAAGGTTCACCATCTAGCATATTTTGCTTCACAGTGGCAATCGCAAGGGATTCACATTTTCAAACAGTAAATCTGAAAGATCTTTTTCCCGTGTCAGCGGGCATCTCATGCTAAGCTACTTGAAAGAAATTGGCCTGTATTATAAATTTTAAATATGTATGTGAATAATTAATTGCTTGTTTATTAATATAGTACGATGCTTTTATCATCTGACACTATCGAAGGTTCTGTCTAGGAGGTTAAAGTACCGTAAAATGATTGTCCCCCTGTGTGACACGTAATCCTATCATAATCATTGTCATTATCATCAACCAGTGTTTTAAGCCAACTCATTGCTGAGCATATGTTTTTAATATTGGCTAGTATTGTGCACAGCCGCCAGTGGCTAAAGTGGAGACGTCAATCCTGCTGGGGTATCATGTAGGAAACTGAGACTTCGTAAGTCCGCATGACCCCTAGCGAGGTGGCCTAGCTTTGTTTATTGATGGCTTCAGCCCGTGTTTTAAACGGTTATCAATAATATTGTTATGCCCAGATATGTTTGACAAATTTGTTTCGAAATATAACTTTGTATTCATGACTCAACTGAATATATATTTATCAACTTGTTCTCGTCGCTATGATTATGCGTCAGCGTACATTGATGACGTCGAACGTTGTTCATAATATTAATCACTGGTTCGATTATTTACAGGCGGTCGTCATATATTACATCTGGCGTCAAACAACAAACACACTCAATATATATATATATATATATATATATATATATATATATATATATATATATTATCTTCGCTATAATTGTGCATAATATTTCTATAGATTAGCGATATTTTAAACAAAGAAATGGATGTTATGTATTCTTTGGCATCCCTCTGCTCATGGCATCATAATCGTACGTACTTCCTCCGTGACGATGCAGGTTAAAATTGCTCTTCATCAACCCATGCATGTCGTAAGAGGCGACTAACGGGATCGGGTGGTCAGGCTCGCTGACCAGATTATACATGTCGTTTTATCCCAACTGTGTGGATCAATGCTCACTGGATTGTCTGGTCCAGACTCGATTATTTAACAATGAGTTCATAAAGCTGAATATTGCTGACTGCGGCGTTCAACAACAAACAAACAAACACAACAACGCACTGGATGAGATCATATTGTTTCAATATATATACTGAGTGCTTAACATTGCGATGTCAAATGGACTTGTGTATATAAACATTTTACTTTGACATAGGTTTGTCTTTTTCATATCCAGATGTACGCATTGTTCATAACATGGATATTTTTCCTTTGGGGATAAAAATACCATGCATGGATAGATTAAGCCAATATTACATTCAATCTAATCGTGTATTTGTTTGTAGCCAATATTACATTCAACCTTATACTATATTTAATTGTTTGTTGACTAACGCCACACTTTTCAGCAATATATGTCTGCGGGCTGTACATAATCGCGTCTGAACCAGACAACCCTGTGATTAGTATCATGAGCAAGGACCCTCGCTTTTCAAGTCACTGAACCCTCTCTGACCACCAGCTCCCTCAAGTCGACCGGCAGGGTTGCCTCAGACCAATTTTAACCCGGGCCTCTACGTGGGTTAATACTGTATATGTAGACTCTCCGAAATATATGACGCCAGGTCTCCAGACAAACGAGTTTCATTGCACATTAATATAATGATAATCGCTAACAAAGCAATAGATTACGTCACGAAAAATAACCAAGTCTAAATGAAAACACAAATACGTCATCGCATTAAAAATAGATTCATCATTTAATCGGATGCCTATAAAACTCCCTCTCTCTCTCTCTCTCTCTCTCTCTCTCTCTCTCTCTCTCTCTCTCTCTCTCTCTCTCTTTCTCTCTCTCTCTCTGTATGTGTGTGTATAATAAATAAATAAATTATTCAATTAATTAATAAAACAACGGATCTACTTACGTGAATGTTTTCAGTTTCTTATAGATATGTGTATACATCTATATATAGATATATAGATTTATAGATATATAGATATAATGTATATATAAATGAAGGAGATACAGAAAACATTCAAGTGAGAAGATATGTTGATTATTTATTTATAAAATTAATAATTTAATTATTCAAAGGACATGCGATGAACGACTCCTTGATATCCATTCGACGATATCGGTGAAATATATTTATTGTGAATATTACTTACCTGCACAAGCCAAGTGTAAACAATATAGGCGGCCATCAGCAGCAAGCCGTAGTGTAACACTTTCGTCAGTGTCAATTTCATTGTTGTATATATCACTTCCTCAGTGAAATGGACAACACTTGTCAGATTATAGAACCTACAAACAACACTTGGTTTAAGACACTGCGTATATGTCCATGAAGTCAACACACTCTTGTGACGTAGTATAGGAACTTGATGGCAGAGGCTAGCATGCGTGGACACAATTGATTTTTGGCAACACGTGGAGTTGAAATGAATGGTTCGTGTACATTTCGTTATTGACATGTACAAGACTGACATCAATGTCGATGTCGCAAAGCTGCCACGTTCACCGACACACTATCAAGGAAGGCACATCACCAAACTCACATAAATAGTTAATTAATACGTGGTCTGTAATGTCAGAATGACAGATAGTCATCATGCAGCTTAAAACGACATGCGATGGTTTTGGCAGATATGAATTTTTATTCATGTGTTCATTTGAACGTAAACATAGCATGCCACCAGGCCTGTATAGTGCGTTGTTATACTATCGTTGCTGCTGACATTCTTCACGGGGTTCTTTTACAGTAATGCTAACGGTATGTATGGCGTACACAAAGAGGCGCACGTAAAAGGGCAATATTATCGTTGGAAACCTGTATATATTACATTTTATATAAAACACCAGACTTTCGCTTAAATTTGCCGTCAATTTCATATTTTAAAATATGCTGATTAAAAAAAAAAGTGTTGTGAAGTTAATTGCATGTTTTTGTTATTATTTTTTGATGGTGTAAATAACGAGGTTCTTGTGCCACGTGAAATATTATCAATCTAACACAATATCCAGTGATGTAATCTTATATTGAAATGCAACACCTGATTCTATCTTCATATTTATGATGAAATGGTTACAAAATATATGCAAACTAAGCCAGGTGCGATATATATGAAATTAATATCGAAATTCCATTTTTTTCTTTATGGTCAGCAAGACCATTAGTTGTTTCCCTTGGCTACCCACAATCCCTTATATACGCCATATTGGATGCTTTTGGAAACAGTACACAAACTCGCCAAGCATGAAGTTGAAGCGGTTTCTTTTGCGCTATTATCCTCCAGGTACAAAAGTTATGAATTGGGTCGTGACGAGTAGTTTATATATGTTGACGATGCATCATAAAGTCAGTTAATTAAGCACGATCGTTTTAATAACGACTAATTTCATAGACCGGCGCGCACATGTCGGCTTGATTGATAAAACGAACGGTGTTTGTGTCATGATGTGTTTCATATTTTACTCATTGTGGCTAATGAGGAGAAAAAGGGAATTTCATTTCACAAGGCAGTATGAGAAATATGTGAATTATGTCTAATATCTTCTTTATTCAACCCGTACTTTTATTGTATCACCATGGCAAACAGAAAATGTTGTAAATCCGTTGCTATGGTAACGATAACCTTTTGTTGTGTCTTGGCAATTGTGTTTATAGCGTTGAATGTATATATAAAAATGTTTTAATCAGTATATCAAGTAAAAAACAATTACTATTTCTTAAGAAATGAAATTTTTGGAAGGTGGATCTGAACCATTTTAGCTGAGGATTAATTAGATTCTATCTCAAAAACATAGCCTATTATATACGTTTTATTAGTCAAACTTTTGTTCATTTGCATGAGAAGGAAGACACTTGTTTTTGAATTATGTGCAAAATTCACTGAAGTGTCATGTCAAGGAAATATAAGAATTTACCAGAAAAGCCTTGCCGAAATGGGTGCTGGCTAAATCTGGCAATAACGGCAATGCATCTGGCAAAAGGGCTACTATGTGTCGGGCGAACACAGCACCTCTATTTTTAATAACGATAAGAACAATTTTTTATTACTATATATATCCGCTCCAGATTTGATTATTTACAGGCTGTCGTCATACAGCTTGAATATTGTTGAGTGTGCTAAACTACAAACAAACAAGACCTGTCTAGATCCGGGGTAGAATAGGTCTTCAGCAACCCATGCTTGCCGTAAAAAGCGACTATGCTTGTCGTAAGAGGCAACTTACCAGGGTTAGAAACTAACAGTTTTTGTCCACTAGCCCTTATAATGATAACATATAGCAAAACCCTTAAAATGGGCCAATTTCTGCTAGTCCTCAGGATACCTTTTATATACTATTGGGCAGTTTGGTAAGGACTACAGGACTAGTGCAAGTTTCTAACGCTGCTTACAGGATCGGGTGGTCAGGTTCTCTGACTTGGTTTGATGAGTGTCATCCTATACCTTGATGCTCCTGATGTCAGTCACTGGATTATCTGGTCAAGACCCAATTATTTACAGACTGCCGTCATATAGCTGTAATATTGCTGAGTGCGGCGTTAAACAACAAACAAACACATTTACGTTCATCATGATTATTGCTCTTCAGGTATCATACTGGAGTATGAACAAGGCGGGAACCTGAAGACCAAGTCCATCGATCTCCTGGATCTAAAACAACAGTAAGTGCCACTCTGCTGACATTGGGAACGACCATAGGTGAAGTGTTGATGAAGGAGGTACTTCCGGTGCTTTATGTTTAATTTTCATGTGCATCATCTCCGTTGTCTAGTGCTTCTGCCCAGACAATGGATCGTGGGTGGTTCATACCAAAAGACTTTCAAAGTTGTACTAACTTCCTTTTTCAATCTGTCTGAAGCTAATTTTTATGTTTCTAACTTCTTCTTTGAAGCCATTAGGTTTAGGATCCTGATGATCTCAGCAATGGTGAAGAATTGTTCATTGAATTTTGATCCGATTTTTAAACATGGCTGTCCTGGCAGCCATATTGAATAACAGTTTTGCAGATATCATAATGACAGCCTGTAACCTTGATTCATATACAGGATTGTCTAGATTTACTGCTAAATGGTGTTTACCGATTTGTCATGATCTTTAAACCTAATGTTGCAAATAATCCAGATATAATCGGGTGAGCGTCAGAGAGTTTCCTGATGTGCTGTTTTCATTCATGAGCTGAGAACCCCTCTGGTAATCCTGGATTGGGAAAGGTCCCCAGCCACTTATGCTGGTCATAAAATGCACCCAAATGGAATGGATGGTCAGACTCGGTGATCTGGTTGGTTACGTGTTATCATAGTTATTGTACCAAGATCGTGTGGATTGTTGTTCATAATATGAAATCTGGATTGTCTGGTCCAGACTCGATGATTTACATGCTGCTATCATGTAGCTGGAATATTGCTGAGTTTGACATTAAACCACAAACAAACATGAGCTGAAAATATCTGTTTTTCTTGCTTACATTGTGTTTTATATTTGTAGGACGGACATTGATGCGGTTGTAGATGAGATATCTCGCAAAGAGCCTCTGATCACAGCCTCCAAAACAGAACAAGTCAGGAAGCTCATTATTCGTATCCTTCACAACAGACACAAGGACAGTTAGGGAGCAGTTCCAAAGTTCAATGTTGGATAAAAGTACTTAAATTCTTAAGGTTTGGGACTTGGGGCCACACGCACCTTAAAAATAAATTATGAAACTGTTGTCATGCTCACCAACAAACTGAATTGCGATTTTTATCCGAGGTCAAATTTTTAACGTTTCTCTGTTTTATAGTTACATTGTGTAACTTTAAACCTACTTACAAATTTTGAACACAAATGGTAAACCACTATTTTTGAGAACTCCAAGATGTGATATCATCAATCACTTTGAGCTGTGAGTTGCATCTTCGTCATATTTTAAAGCGAAAGAATAACAATTAATTTCCTGTTTCATTTCTTAACAATATAGAATTTGCTGTAACAGGTAATGACATAAGAAACCCATTTATTAGTCAAGATGTGTTGTATCTTCTGGTTAGTTCCATGTTTTGCAAAACCTGGAGTAATCTGTTGTTTGGAAGCCTTAACCAGGTACCAGGTTTGCAGGAGAAGTTGTCGCATCCAGACGATCACCATTATTACCTGTTCAAGGTGAGATACCAGCTGATAGTTCTGTTGGCTTATGCATTGTCCAGCATCCTTGTACATTCATCACTGTGTTCACTATTTAAGTTATTCCTACAGCTTGTGGACCCGTGAAGATTCCGGGGTAGAACAGGTCTTCAGCAACCCATGCTTGCCGTAAAAGGCGACTATGCTTGTCGTAAAGGGTGACTAACAGGATCGGTGGTCAGGCTCGCTGACTTGGTTGATGCATGTCATCGATCCCAATTGCGTGGATCGATGCTCATGATATCAATCACTGGATTGTCTGGTCCAGACTCGATTATTTACACACCGCCCTCATATAGCTGTAATATTGCTGAGTGCGGCGTTAAACAACAAACCAAACCAGAAAACCTACAGCTTGTGTCCTTGTATAATATTGATAAAACAATTACAAGAACATGTTTATTGAAATGGAATGAAATTACTGTCTGTTCACAATATATGGTTTGGAGTTGTTTCCCTTGTTGCATGTTTGGCTATAAGTATAAACCCAGAATGGTTTTCATGTATGGCATCAGTTTAAGGTTAGGCAAGGCCAAGACATTTCTTTCTCTTTGTGTTAACATATTAGTAAACTTAAAAACACCTCGTCTTGTTTCATGCAATTTACCAGTCTCCAAACATTTTACTGAGAGATCTAAGCATGTAGATCTATATGTCCCCAAAGTGAAAACATTACTGGTTCATCCAAGATTACCTAAAGCATGATTTTGTTTTTGACTCTGAATGATACACAGTACTTTTCCCTGAAATCTTTTCCCCATAAAATATGTGTGCTTTAAGCTCAAGTGTTGTAATCATCAAACCTAATGTGTTTTTGTATGCCCTTTATAAGGGATGTTTCCAGCTGTTTGGCACCAAGTCGGCAGCACATGTCGGTAAAAGTTCCCAGTTTCTCAGAATTTACAAAAATACGATTAGAAAAAAAATAATCAAATTTTGAACATCACTATATTTTCCTAATTTGCCTGCCCTTGGCACTTGGCTTAAAATTCTGGTAATTCCCTGTCTTCATATTAAACTTTGAATCCTGGATAACTCCCTCCCTTTGTATTCATGCCAATTCTTTGAAGATTTTCTTCACTCAGACACCAAATGTTGGATCAAACAAATAAATCCCAGTCTATGATCATCATTAGACTGCACCAAATAATTTGTTTTATTTATTCTATTTATTCTACTTATTTATTGTAATGGTCACCCTGGGACCCCGATGACCTGCTAAAATCAAGCACCTCCACCACGCTCACCACTCCCTCTCCCACCACCCCCACTCCCGCCACCCCCACTGATACCACCCCCACTCCAACAAGCCCCACTCCCACCACCCCTGCTCCAACAACCCCCACCCAAACAACCCCCACTCAAACAACCCCAACTCCCACCAGCTCCACTCCCACCACCCCCACTCCAACAACCCCCACTCCCCCCTCTCCCCTCACTCCAACAACCCAGTAAAACAAAAGAAAGAAGAAAATAAGTCCCAAGGGCTCGTAAATCGACAGACCCGGGTACATCCCTGGTATTATACACAAGATAATCCAATAGTAAAAGAGTCAAAATGCACTCTGTATAGACAAGATAGAGAACTGCGCTGATCAAACCTTTTCCTACTTTTCAGGTGCTACGAGCTCACATTCTTCCTCTCACAAATGTTGCCTTCAATAAGTCAGGATCAAGGTAAGATGTCTGTGCTGGACAGGGAAGTCCACACAGTTTTAGCAACGATTTACTGTTCCTTTATCTGGTGTTTAACGATACTCTGTTATGAGCATCTTCCCGAGTTAACTGACTATGACAGTCCAGTTTCCACCCTTGCCAAACTAGGCTGGAATTTCTGGGCTTGATCGTAGCGCCATCAGTGGCTAATATGAGTTATGTTCCTCCTATTGACCAATTAGATTCCAGCTCACATATCACTTGCATTTGCTTCAAACAAAATGGCGGCTCCAAGTCAAGAAGATTTGATCGATAATCAAAATCTATATTGTGATAAAACGGGTCTTACTTCACAAAGTGCATCAAGCACGTGAGCGCCTTTATTAAAAACATGCAAAGATGTGGCTGTACACATGCTTTGCAAATCCTGTAATCGACCGAAATCTGCCCTGCAGTTTACGAACCAGATATCAATTTTGTTACAGGTTTTTGATTGGAGTATGCATTCGGTAGTCTCAACAAAAATATCACTCCCAATCTCATTAAAATCAGACCTTAGTTCTCGCTACCGCTAAACAAAGATCTGAGGACATCCCATTAGGGGTCACGTCAGAACGACCTTTCATCCGACCAATCAGTGCGTCGCTTACCAGATTATGAAAGTGACAGTCGGAATGTGATTTCTAGTCATGCAATCTCGAAAACTTTAACATGGGGTATTGCGAACGATAGTTACGGGTTTAACGACTGAATCCATACAATCTAAACCATCTATTAGCCATTCCAGAATGTTTTTTTGTTCAGTTTTCAAATTTGTAATCAAGAATTTGTCAAAATATGTTTCGAAGCGTAGTCGCCAATTTGAAATTTGTGCTGTAAAGCATGAGAAAGCTGCCTTCTGATTGGTCATTCCATTGGTCGGTCAAAGTTTGCGTAAGGTCGGCCTGGCGTGACCCGTAATGGGATGTCCTCAGATCTACGTTTAGCGGAAGCAAGAACAAAGATCTGATTTTAATGAGATTGATGTCACTCCATAAATCCAGCCTAGTTCGGCAAGGCTGGAAACTGGACTGTTGTCGCCAGTTAACTTCCTTGCCTCAGGAGGATGTTTTATGAGTGAATCATGAAAAAATGAAATTTGATTTTCTATATTTCCAGTATTTGACATAAAGTATTCATTGTTTTGTCTCCAGCTTTATCACCGGTAGCTACGACCGCACATGTAAAGTGTGGGACACAGCATCAGGCGAGGAGCTGTTCACACTGGAGGGACATCGCAATGTCGTCTATGCCATTGCCTTCAATAACCCTTTTGGGTAAGTTGTTGAGAAGAGGTTTATGCCATTACATAATGCTGTTGTTGTGTGTTTGTTTGTTGTTTAACGTCGCACTCAGCAATATTCCAGCTGTAGGATGGCAGTCTGTAAATGATCGTCTGGACCAGCCAATACAGTGATTAACATTGGGCATCAATCTACGCAATTGGGATACGGTGACATGTATCAACAAGGTCAGCGAGTCTGACCACCTGATCCAACAAGCATGGGCTACCAAAGACTAGATCCGTGAAGATCTGCGGTAGAATAGGTCTTCAGCAACCCATGCTTGTTGTAAGAGGTGACTAACAGGATCGGGTGGTCAGGCTCGCTGATTTGGTTGATGCATGTCATCGATCCCAGTTGCATGGATCGATGCTCATGATGTCCATCACTGGATTGTCTGGTCCGGACTCAATTATTTACAGACTGCCGTCATATAGCTGGAATATTGCTGAGTGCGACATTAAACAACAAACCAAAGTCTAAATCTAACCATGCTAACCCAGGTCTTCAGCAATATGTGGAGTGATGTTTTTTTTCAAGTGGAATGAAGAGGTTGAAATGATAATGCAATTTATATAACAACCTAGTGAGGTGAGTGGTCTCCTCACGTGACATTAAAGAACAAATCACGTTTTAGTTGTGTTTTTCTTTCAGTGACAAAATTGCCACAGGATCATTTGACAAGACCTGCAAGTTGTGGAGTGCTGACTCCGGGAAATGTTACCACACGTTCAGAGGACATACGGCAGAAATTGTAAGTGGAGGACTTTTACAATTTTGATTTGTGTCTTGTACAGGTAGGATGTTTTGTAGGGAGTATTACGCATAAGGTCCCACGCATGACCTCGAGGTCAAAGTAGATCAAAGGAGAACCGTTGTCATGGTGAAGGAAAGAACACTTATTTATGAACGGGGATATCTACGACAAATATACATGAATAACACCAGTTTCTGTTGAGTCTCCTGTTGGGAACTGGTGAAAAGTTCAAGATTGTTTATTAAATGAAATTGTCTTTAGCAACTCAAACACTTCTACTAGCAAGCGATGCCATAGCAGTGGGCCATTGAAGTTTATCTGCATCTGTCATTTGAGACTTTATATGTTTGCTTGTTTGTTGTTTAACACCGCACTCTGCAATATTCCAGCTATATTAATATTATTATGGCGATCTGTAAATAATTGAGTCCGGACCAGACAATCCAGTGATTATTTCATTGTCAGTCTCTGAGGAATGGTTACCACTTGGGGCCTGAAACTTGATATTTGGATGCATCTTTACAAATCTTATGATCAAGATCAAGGTCATCTTCAAGGTTATTGTGACATGTGGTTGTATCATTTATTGCCGACCCGTAAAGATCCGGGGTAGAATGGGTCTCCAGCAACCCATGCTTGTCTTCACGTGAAGATCCGGGGTTGAATGGGTCTCCAGCAATTCATGCTTGTCTCCCCGCGAAGATCCGGGGAAGAAGACCCATGCTTGTCTCCCCGCGAAGATCTGGGGTAGAAGACTCGGGGTAGAAGACTCATGCTTGTCTCCCCATGAAGATCCGGGGTTGAATGGGTCTTCAGCAACCCATGTTTGTCTCCCCGCGAAGATCTGGGGTTGAATGGGTCTTCAGCAACACATGCTTGTCTCCCCGCGAAGATCTGGGGTTGAATGGGTCTTCAGCAACACATGCTTGTCTCCCCGCGAAGATCTGGGGTTGAATGGGTCTTCAGCAACACATGCTTGTCTCCCCGTGAAGATCCCAGGTAAAATAGGTCTTCAGCAACCCATGTTTGTCTCCCCGTGAAGATCCAGGGCACAATAGGTCTTCAGCAACCCATGCATGCCGTAAAACATGACTATGCTTGTCGTAAGAGGCGACTATGCTTGTCGTAAGAGGCGACTAACGGGATCGGGTGGTCAGGCTCGATGACATGGTTGTTGCATATCATCGTATCCCAACTACGTGGATCGATGCTCATGAGATCAATCACTGGATTGTCTGGTCCAGACTCGATTATTTACATACCGCCATCATATAGCTGGAATATTGCCGAGTGCGGAGTTAAACAACAAACAAACAAACATTTATTGCCAGTCACTGTCGCACTTTTACTTGTACAACTCTGGGACTACCAAGTCTAGGTAGTTGTTGGATAATGAGGTCTGGAGGTTATGTTTTCTGCCTGGAAGTACACTGTATGTTAAAAATTTGGGAGTTTTGGGAAAACATTTGAGGCACTACAAATTGCTGTACATAGTTGCGTCCCTTAGGCACACCAGAATCCTATGATCATGTGTTCAGATCCTAGAATCGCCCTGATTCTGTCTCTATGTTTTGTCAGCACCATACCCTCGGGGTGAGTTTCACCAAAGTGACTGTGTGTGGTAGGACCTGCCTATTGATGGTAGTATTCCTGTTTGAGCTGTATAATAACAGCAGTGTTTCTGTTTCATCTGTGTATTGATGATGTTGTTTTTTCCTCCAGGTCTGTCTAAGTTTCAACCCAGCCAGTTCAGTCCTAGCAACAGGGAGTATGGACACGACAGCCAAACTGTGGGATGTGGAAACAGGCACAGAGCTCAATACTCTCAACGTAAGTCAAGAACCTTATTTATCAAACAAGGGGCGGTCGGGTAGCCTAGCGGTTAAAGCGTTCGCTCGTCACGCCAAAGACCCGGGTTCGATTCCCGACATGGGTATAATGTGTGAAGCCAATTTCTGGTGTAAAGGCAGCGTAAAACCACTCACTCACTCACTATTTATGAAACGCATGTTCAGGGATTTATCTAGACCAGCTCAGAGGCTGATATTTGGCCCGAAACCTGCTGCAGATGTCATTGAAAATTCTCTACTAAAATTAAATGAATGAATGAATGAATAAATAAATAAATAAATGAATGAATGAATGAATGAATGAATGAATGAATGAATGAATGAATGAATGAATGAATGAATGAATGAATGAATGAATGAATGAATAAATAAATAAATAAATAAATAAATAAATGAATAAATGAATAAATAAATACTCTTCGTGTTACATGAAAATGATAAATTTCCTGCAGGCCATAAGGACCCATACAAATTTGAAACTATGGCCCAACACAAGATCTACCTACCACAGGCCTACGGACAGGCGCTTATTTCGAACACTGTCTACGTTCGATACCCACATGGGGTACAAAGTGAGGGTGTGTGATATTACTGGTTCACCAGGAAATCGCAATTCTTTCTTTCAAGGTGTATTATAATATTATTTTATATGTCGGTATATCAGGTGATTTCAAATATCAATTTTTTTTCCCAAATACAGAAACACATATATGGAGTACACATTATGCATACTAAATACAGTAGTTATATTGACATGTTCAAAATGTTCCCATAATTGCAAAATACAAAGTAACTTGTCTCTTGCAATGATCATCGTTAGTTGTGCACTCGCATAATTTCGTACATTTGCATCAACCTCAATCGTTGAACATCTGGGGCCGCATGTGGAAAGAAATTAAGAATGAAAATTCCCCCCTCAAGCAAACTATTGGTGAAATGGACCAAAAAGTGTGTCAGTATGTCGTGTGATGCACTGGTCGAAACACTGGGAAACATTCAGTGTATCGTGATACGTATCTCAGGTGGCCTTGTGTATCTCAGGTGGCCTTGTGTATCACAATATTTTGTGATACACTTTTGACTGCCAGTACCCATCCTTAGTATAGTGTGTGAAGCCTAATTCTGATGTGAAATTATGCTGAAAGCACTCTTGGCATGGCCTGTTGTCTGTCGTCTGTGAATTTTTGACTGCCCTTCTGAAATAGTGTTTGCTTGTCATGCTGAAGACCCAGGTTCGATTCCCACATTGGCACGAAATGTGAAGCTATTTCTGGTGCCCTCATCTGGAATATTGTTGGAATATTGCTAAAAGGAGCCCCAAAGCAAACTCCCTGACGGAAATGACTGAATGGAAGAGACTGAAACTGGAGTAGGATGTCAAGCATCATGATGGGACTCAATTTGTTAGCTAGCCCAGACCAGTTTTGTAAATGTTAAGGGTTGGTAGAATTTCAAACATTTTCAGGTGTATTGCTATATGTTACCAGTATTCGGGCTGGTAGATGTTCTTGGTTAATTTCAACCTCTGCTATTGGTGTTAAGATTCAAATTTGAATGTTTTAAAAAAAATTCAAAAATGGCATAAATGGCATATTTTCAGAATATGAAGGGGCGGTGGGATAGCCGGCGTTTGATTCCCCTTATGGGTACAATGTGTGAAGCCCATTTGGTGTCCCCTGCTGTGATATTACTGGAATATTGCTAAAAGTGGCGTAATACCATACTAGCTCACTCACTGGGAATATCAAATATTGATATAATCTGGAGCTACAAAAAATGTTTGAACAAAACCACCTGTTTGCTGATCATGCCGAAGATCCAGATTTAATTCCAAACATGGGTACAATGGCGGCAGCCCATGTCTGGTGTCCCCGCCATGATTTTGATGGAACCTTGCTAAGACCCCACTCACTATTTGTTGGTATACGAACTTCAAATCAACTATTTTCTTTTTATCCCCCCGATATGTAATTAGGGTGATATAGTAATCTGCTTGTCTGTCTGTCCATCCGTGTCTTTGTCCATCTGAAAGCAGTTTTTGCAATATATGGGTCATTATCAAAATTGTACCCCTTTGGTCCTGTTGATTAAACAAAAATAAAACTTGTTAATTCCAACTTTTAGTGATTTCATGAGAAACAACTGAACTTAATCAATTAGTTAGTAAATTATGCAAATACAAAGAATCATATTTTTGTCATATTTATAATATACCAGAGAAACAGTAGATATTTATTGTCCTTGGTGTAACCATTATTGTTACCGATATTTTGCAGAGAAAAAAATAAATGCAATATTACTTTCAGTGTTTTATTGTAAAACTAATATTTAATCTCTGCATAGAAAAGAAGAAAAGAAATCTCATATCATATGGCAGGTAGATTTCGTGTCAGGCCGTAGTTTCACAGTTGTGTGGGTCCTTCTGGTCTGCAGTAAATTTATGTGTGTTTTTCATTTGTCGCAATAACCTGCACTTTGCAGTGAGAGCTAAAGAGCTTAGTCCGAGCCTGCCGCTTCTAAAGTTTTAATGTTTTAAATTTCAAACACTGCCTGACACATGAATACAAAGTTTCGAATCCCAATTCCAGCATTAGAAATTGGCACTAGTTCTGTAGTTCTTGCCAAACTGCCCAATAGTTAAGGTATCATAAGGACTAGTAGAAAAATACCATTTTTAAGGCTTTTGTTATATGTTATCATAATAAGGACTAGTGGGATAAAAAAGTTTCTACCACTGAATTCCATGGTATTGTTTTGATGGCTGAATAGCTACATTTGTAGAGGGACAAACAGATTAGATAGGAATACTGTCATCAAGTTGGACAGATTAGATAGGAATACTGTCATCAAGTTGGACAGATCACTCTTGTAGTTGTAGAGGGACAAACAGATTAGATCTATAGGAATACTGTCATCAAGTTGGACAGATCACTCTTGTTGTTGTAGAGGGACAAACAGATTACATAGGAATACTGTCATCAAGTTGGACAGATTAGATAGGAATACTGTCATCAAGTTGGACAGATCACTCTTGTAGTTGTAGAGGGACAAACAGATTAAATCTATAGGAATACTGTCATCAAGTTGGACAGATCACTCTTGTAGTTGTAGAGGGACAAACATATTAGATAGGAATACTGTCATCAAGTTGGACAGATCACTCTTGTTGTTGTAGAGGGACAAACAGATTACATAGGAATACTGTCATCAATTTGGACAGATCACTCTTGTAGTTGTAGAGGGACAAACAGATTAGATAGGAATACTGTCATCAAGTTGGACAGATCACTCTTGTAGTTGTAGAGGGACAAACAGAGTAGATAAAAATACTGTCATCAAGTTGGACAGATTAGATAGGAATACTGTCATCAAGTTGGACAGATCACTCTTGTAGATGTACAGGGACAAACAGTTTAGATAAGAATACTGTTATCAAGTTGGACAGATTAGATCGGAATACTGTCATCAAGTTGGACAGATCCCTCTTGTAGTTGTAGAGGGACAAACAGATTAGATAGGAATACTGTCATCAAGTTGGACAGATCAGATAGGAATACTGTCATCAAGTTGGACAGATCACTCTTGTAGATGTAGAGGGACAAACAGATTAGATAGGAATACTGTCATCAAGTTGGACAGATTAGATAGGAGTACTGTCATCAAGTTGGACAGAGTAGATAGAAATACTGTCATCAAGTTGGACAGATTAGATAGGAATACTGTCATCAAGTTGGACAGATCAAATAGGAATACTGTCATCAAGTTGGACAGATTAGATAGGAATACTGTCATCAAGTTGGACAGAGTAGATAGGAATACTGTCATCAAGTTGGACAGAGTAGATAGGAATACTGTCATCAAACTGGACAGATTAGATAGGAATACTGTCATCAAGTTGGACAGATCACTCTTGGAGGACTTGGGGTAACAATCAAATGATTTGTTCTTTGGAATTTGTGGGGGCGGCGGGGATTTGTCATCTTCTGATGACTCTTGTCCTATTTTATTGTGTGCGTTTCCCTCTGCATCTTGGCATATTGACCGAAGTATTTGTAAAAAAAGACTTTAAAATGGTCCGGCCTGACATTAATTAATCCCAGATAAGATGGGAATGGCAATAAGAGTACCGGAGATAGCACCAGCAGTGCAGGCAGTCGGCCATAGATGTGTACTGTCCCTCCCCATGACCCCTATGCTCCGTCTTTCATCTCTGTACTTCCTCATTTGTGGTGCTGACAAATTATCAAATGATTTGGACTGAGTGTCATCGAATAAAACTGATGAAAAACTGACAAAGCCCTGCTATCAATGAATGGGGATTTCTAACTGCAATTTGTGTAATGAAAAAGTCAGTTTTGTTGGCCATTACGCCTGTGACAAGGAAAACCCTGTGTGATCTATTCCCCTGTTGACAAACAATCTATTCAGTGATGCATCACCGTTATTTCCTTTCATGAAGTAATGGAGGATTCGTTGAAGCGTGCTGAAGTGTCAAATATTAATTGGGAGTTTCATGGTTTGATCTTCGTGATTAGAATGTGTTGCAATCTTTCTGTCTGTCCTGACTTGATTGTATTTTGTTCCATGAACTTGAATTTGTTTAGATGTGAATGTTATTGGTCAATAAACTGTATCAAATGTACTTTGTGATTGCTAAAAACACCAGTCTTCTGGCCTTTAAAAACAAGATCCTCAAAGGGCTAGTTGAATGTCGACCTTGACATTCCTTTTGATATTGTTGATGTAAACTTTCATTGATTCTCAGGAATATGTTGATGAGAATAAATACCTTGGAAGTTACTTTCAAAGAAACTCCTTTTTCAATAGCCACCAACATTTATCCAATCAGGCATCTAAAGCAATGCACTTCATACACTAGTGTAATCTTATCTATTAAATGTCAAATGTAACTGTTTGATGATATGGTTAACCCAGTTCTTTCGTAGTGATGTACCAGTAAATTCTGGGTTCTGAAAATGTTAAATAAGCTGAACAAGTTTATGTACTGTTCCTTAGAATGGGAGTACCAGTTAAGAGGGGGGCCTTTATATTATATGGGAACTTGACAGCAGGATACTAGAACTGAAACAAGAATGGTTGTATGTTTGTATATAGATTTGTATCTGGAAAATGAACAGAGTTATTGTATTTTTTATATTCCATGTTTTAAGATGCAATAATTGTGGAAATTATGAACAGGTAAATCGATTAGGTTGTCAGGCTCTGTGACTTGGTAGATTGTGTGTGTATGCTTGAACCTATCGCTGCCCACTGTAGTGCTTGAACGTATCACTGCCTACTGCAATGCTTGGACCTATCACTGCCTACTGTAGTGCTTGAACCTATCACTGCCTATTGTAGTGCTTGAACCTATCACTGCCTATTGTAGTGCTTGAACCTATCACTGCCTACTGCAATGCTTGAACCTATCACTGCCTACTGTAGTGCTTGAACCTATCACTGCCTATTGTAGTGCTTGAACCTATCACTGCCTATTGTAGTGCTTGAACCTATCACTGCCTACTGCAATGCTTGAACCTATCACTGCCTACTGCAATGCTTGAACCTATCACTGCCTATTGTAGTGCTTGAACCTATCACTGCCTATTGTAGTGCTTGAACCTATCACTGCCTATTGTAGTGCTTGAACCTATCACTGCCTACTGCAATGCTTGAACCTATCACTGCCTACTGTAGTGCTTGAACCTATCACTGCCTATTGTAGTGCTTGAACCTATCACTGCCTATTGTAGTGCTTGAACCTATCACTGCCTACTGCAATGCTTGAACCTATCACTGCCTACTGCAGTGCTTGAACCTATCACTGCCTATTGTAGTTCTTGAACCTATCACTGCCTATTGTAGTGCTTGAACCTATCACTGCCTATTGTAGTGCTTGAACCTATCACTGCCTATTGCAGTGCTTGAACCTATCACTGCCTATTGTAGTGCTTGAACCTATCACTGCCTATTGCAGTGCTTGAACCTATCACTGCCTACTGCAATGCTTGGACCTATCACTGCCTATTGCAGTGCTTGAACCTATCACTGCCTACTGCAATGCTTGGACCTATCACTGCCTACTGTAGTGCTTGAACCTATCACTGCCTATTGCAGTGCTTGAACCTATCACTGCCTATTGTAGTGCTTGAACCTATCACTGCCTATTGTAGTGCTTGAACCTATCACTGCCTATTGCAGTGCTTGAACCTATCACTGCCTACTGCAATGCTTGGACCTATCACTGCCTATTGCAGTGCTTGAACCTATCACTGCCTACTGCAATGCTTGGACCTATCACTGCCTACTGTAGTGCTTGAACCTATCACTGCCTATTGTAGTGCTTGAACCTATCACTACCTACTGTAGTGCTTGAACCTATCACTGCCTACTGTAGTGCTTGGACCTATCACTGCCTATTGTAGTGCTTGAACCTATCACTACCTACTGTAGTGCTTGAACCTATCACTGCCTACTGTAGTGCTTGAACCTATCACTGCCTATTGCAGTGCTTGAATCAATCAATCAATCAATCAATCAATCAATCAATCAATCAATCAACATGTTTGTGTTACAGGGTCACTCAGCTGAGATCATCTCCCTGTCCTTCAACTCGACTGGCTCACAGCTGATCACGGGCTCGTTTGACCACACCGTGTCTGTATGGGACGTACGCTCAGGACAGTGAGTACATTCTTCTTATGTGTATCAGTACTTGTGCAAAGGAGAGATGTGTCACAGGAAAGATGTGGTATAGCAACACACTGGGCTTATTAACCCTGTCAACACAGCTTACATTAGGAAGGAACCATATCACTGGTGCTGTAATATAGTACTTGTCCAAAATTATCATTTTCAAGAGTAATTTCTTTGACAGTATCATTTAGGAAAAAATTGCATACGTATAAAAGGGCCCCGTTCAACAAAATGGGGGGGGGGGGGGGGGTCGGGTAGCCTAGTGGTTTAAGCATTCGCTCGTCATAGCCGAAGACCTGGGTTCGATTCCCGACATGGGTACAATGTGTGAAGCCCATTTCTGGTGTCCCCTGCCGTGATATTGCTGGAATATTGCTAATAGCGGCGTAAAACCATACTCACTCACTCACTCATTGTAGAACGGGGCCTTTGCCCCAGTTCCGACTCCCACACGTTGATATGGACTTATGGTCATCATAACATAAAGATGGCTTTTTAAAATCCAGCCCTGGGCCCAGTGATTGAAACCCCCATACTTTAACATAGACTAATGATCATTGTAGCACTGAGGCCTAACATTTGTTATTTTTCGTTTCACGGGCCAACCACCCCTACTGAAAAGCAGTCTAAGAAATAAGTTAAGCATAAAAATATTTATTTTTATTATGTATCCCATATTTACATCACTATCAGTGATTCAAGAGGCAGTTTTAACTCCACGTCAGAATGACTTTTATATAAATAAATAAATGATTGACATTTATTTTGTTTATTTTGACCGGCCTTGTGTGGAAAAAGATGAAATAAAACGATGAAACATAAAATTTAAAAAGTGTGACCTAAGATCGCCTCGTGGAACGCATCCCTGGGCCCAGTGATTGTAACGCCCACACTTTAACATAGACGTATGATCACAATTGCGCTAAGGTCGCTTTGTGGAACAGGGTCATAGGAAGAGAATATTTCATGTATACATCACTGACTGAGTGGGTGGTGCGACGCCCTCAAGATTCAGCACTTAAACCCGATCCTGGTTGTTTAGGGTACTGGGTGACTGTTCTGTCTGGGGAATAAATAGTCTGGGCGGCAGATCAGGGAGGAGTGTCCAGTCGTGGTTAACACATCAACTCAATAAGTGCAGCTCGTGATGCGGTCTTTGTTCTACAGCCAGGTCCATGACCAGGAAGCACTCAGTGGGTGTGACAAGCTTCTGTAGACAGCACAGTGTCATGGAAGGTGCATATTGCTTAATACATGCATGGTGCAGCTGATGTTTGGTACATGGGGCCGATGCACATTTCAGGTACCTTATCACAATATGGATGTTACCATGGTTACACTGGGTGAAAACCATTTCTTTGAGGCCAGTCATTATTCGACATGATGGGGGAGACTCGCTGCTGTTGTACTTGCATCTTCTTTTGTTACATGTAATTAATATATAAACTTTACTGCTGCAAGGTGCATCCTTGTAATCAAATGCTTCTACATAGAATAAAAATACCGTATTCGATGTAATAAGCGCCCCGCTCTAATTAGCGCCCACGGCGATATTTGTTAATATATTGGCTGGTGAACAATCCCAATTAGCTACCCTCCCGATTGAGCAATGTACACAAGACTTATTTATTCGTGTATGATTAGCACTCGTGTGTTATATGCACCCTTAATTATGGGCAATTAAATTTTGGAAACATATATCTGTCGTATATAAACATTTCAGGCTGTCAGCATAAACCACGAAATTTATCTTTCAACTGTTTTTTTCCACCAAAATACCATTCTAATAAGAGCCCTCTATTTCTAATTTTGCGAGTGCCCAGGGCGCTTATTACGTCGAATACGGTACTTGAAATAGGTTCACAATCTCAACTGAAGATTGCTGACCATAAATAGGTACAATATTAAGTCACATTCATACAGTTTTGAAATGTGAAACATGTTGACTGTTGTTGCAGGCGGATCCACACATTGATAGGCCATAAAGCCGAGATCAGCAGTGCTCAGTTCAACTGGGATTGTTCTCTCATCGCTACTGGCTCTATGGACAAGACCTGCAAGATCTGGGATACACAGACAGGTGGGAGTTACTAGTCACCCTCGGGGGAATGGGGAGGGAGCAGAAGGTCCGGGGCTTGATCCCCAGCTGCGTCATACCAAAAGACGTTAAAAGATAGTACTTGTTGTTACCCTGTCTGGTGCTTGGCATTAAGGGGCTAAAACAAGGACTAGTCGACTCGGAGTCAGTATACTGTGTCTAAGTGGGGTATTCTTGTTAAACTGCAGCATGGTATCGCAATGGGCTAGCACTATAAAATCTGCTATAATCTTGGACGCACTCCCATTTCACCTCACCTCTTGAGTTTGCAGTATTTGTTTTCCAAGTTCATCTTTTTGCTGTTGTTTACAAGGGAGTTGGAAGCTCAGTTATATTCTCAAAAAATCTTTAAAGTGGTTTTGCAGAAATTCTGCCACATTCAATAATGGTTTCACTAATTTATTTGAAGAGAAACAAAGTTTGGCTCCTAAGTATTGAACAAGGTTCCTTGCGACATAGAATGCATAGCAATCCATTTTCTTTCATTGGAGGGGGCACGGGTGGCCCAGTCGTCTAAGGCGCTGCGATTCACTGTGCAGAGTTGCGTCCCTTGGGCATGCCAGAAACCTGATTGTGGGTTTGAATCCCGGTTCGCCCCGATTATGTTTCTAGGTTTGTCAGCACCATACCCGTGCTCGTGGGTTTCACCGAAGTGGTAAACGTCTGAGACCTGCATCACTTCGGGCTTTCCTCCCACATTAAGCTGACACACCGCAATATAACTGGAATACTGTTAAAAGCGGCGTTAAACCCAACTCACTCGCTCTTTCATTGGACATTGTGACTAAAGCCTTTGAATCCCATACCTAGAAAATGTTAAATACTTTCAATAGAGAACTATTGACATTGCGTGGAACGATGCTCATGTTCTCAATCACTGGATTGTCTGGTCCAGACTTGATTATTCACAGACCGCTGTCATACAGCTAGAATATTGCTGAGTGTGGCGTTAAACAACAAACAAACAAACAAAAACATCCTCAAATCAGCAAAGGGTTTAGCTTTAGTCACATTTGCTAATGTATGACAAGTCAGAATATGTCTTACCTAGGATGACTGCCTCCGTGGTCTAATGGTAGAGTGTCTGCCCAGAGAGAGGAAGGTCAGCGGTACGATCCCTGGTTGTGTCATACCAAAAGATTTTAAGAGGTGGTATTTTTGTTGTGACCCTGCCTGGCGCTTTGCATTAAGGGGCTAAAACAAGGACTAGTCAGCTCAGAGTCAATACTATGTCTGGGTGGGGTATTCATTTTAAATTTCGGCATGGTATCTCAATGGGCTGGCACTATAAAATGGGCATTAGTCTGGACTATTACAAGCAGACACTTCGCTATAAAAGTGTGATAATCTTGAACACTTTGCTAAACCCCATTTCATATCACCCACCTCTTAACTAGGAGATGAAGTAAGCTTTGACACGTGGTGTTGCATATGTGGTGCTTGAAGAATCATAGCGTTTGTTGGCCACAAGAATACACATGCAAAGGGGAGGTAACTCTTACGATGCTGTTACACAGCACAGCTTGTTGAATGGACAGCAAGATACTAGGAGAAATGTCTCGGTATTGAGTGAAGGTGGAGTTGAGGGTATTTGTGCAGGGTTGATTTAGTTATACCCAACATGCACAAGTGCAACCTAAGTTTGAAAAATGCAACCTGATATTAATGTCTACACCAAGTGCATGTCAAACATTTGCAAATTTGTGTCTGACTAATCCTTACTTGTCGACACAACATTGATATCTCTTGCGTTAATTCACCATACTATGTAACTAAGCAAAGAAGTGAAGATTCCGGGGTAGAACAGGTCTTCAGCAACCCGTACTTGCCGTAAAAAGGCGACAATGCTTGTCGTAAGAGGCTACAAAAGGGATAGGTCGGTCAGGCTCGCTGACTTGGTTGATGCATGTCATTGTATCCCAATTGTGTGGATCAATGCTCATGATATCAATCACTAGATTGTCTGGTCCATCCTCGATTATTTACATACCGCCAGCATGCTGCTGGAATATTGCTGTGTGCGGTGTTAAACAACAGACAAAACAAATTTCACTAATCCCTGGGTTACCATGGATACATGTAATTTGTCATGCTTGTCACACGTGGCTCCGGTTCCCCAGAAGAGATGACAGGTCCTGCTACATTCTTAGCTCCGCGATAATCATTCTTTTGAACTTCCTGTTTCATCTATTTACGTTGCAGATGATACTTAAATATACACATGCGTTTCTAGATCTGTCAACAGAATGTTCCCATGCTTGTGGGTTTCACCAATCTTCTGAGACTTGAGTAATTTTGGGTTTTCCTCCCACACTAAGCTGACACGCTGTAATATAACTAGAATACTGTTCAAAGTGGCGTTTAACCCTGCACACTCTATACTTTTGCATAATGATCTATATTTGAATCAGCTTTACTTGGCAGTAATGATTGACTAGCGAATTCCTGGCTCAGAATCAACAGCAACAAGAATAACGTGACATCATCGGAATGGTTTGATAGGTACTGTTGTTGCTTCTGCTACTGGACTGCTGTGGTGTGGTGGTAGAGGGTCCGCCCGGAGAGTGGAAGGTCCGGGGTTCGATCCCTGGCCGTGTCATACCAAAAGACGTTAAAAGATGGTACTTGTTGTTACCCAGTCTGGCGCTCGGCATTAAGGGGCTAAAACAAGGACTGGTCTGCTCAGAGTCAGTATACTGTGCCTGAGTAGGGTATTCATGTTAAACTGCGGCATGGTATCTCAGTGGGCTAGCACTATAAAATCGTCATTAGTCCGGGCTAGTACAAGCAGCCACACACATGCACATCGCTGCGTAAGTGTAATAATCTTGAACGCGGCGTTAAACTCCTTTTCGTCTCACCTCACTTCTGCTACTGCAGCCCAGGACTGTTTGCTCATAGATGCAGGGACAAGTGTCAGAGACAGCGGTAGAAACTAACATGTTTAGTCCACGAGGCCTTAATAATGACAGCATCTAGCAACACCCTTAAGAACGATCTCAATTACGTGGATCAATGCTCATGATTTCAATCACTGGATTGTCTGGTCCAGACTCGATTATTTACAGACCACCGTGCAGCGTGCAGCGTTAACAAACAAAAACAAAACCCTTAAGAATGGCAAATTTCTACTTATCCTCATGATACCTTAACTATTGGTCAGTTTAGCAAGGACTACAGGACTAGTGCTAATTTCTAACTGATTGAGTGGGCAGGATTCACTGAAACCAGCCTTTGAAGTTTTTTAGTGTTTTAGTGCAGGAAGTGAAATAAGATGACATTCAAATGTTGACCTTTCTTGATCATTGGCAACCATTGATCAAACAAGTGGATGAATAATTCAATGATGCTGTTTGAAAAGAAATGTTTTTTTAGGTGTTTACAGTGATAATCTCTCAAGTTCTCTCAATGTGGCAGCGGGTAGCTTAGTGGTTCAACCGTGTTGCATTAGAGGTAATAAATATTGGACAGACGCTCAGAATGGCCAAACAAAAGGCTTATGGCCTTGGACTGTCGATATCAACTAAATTGCTTGTTAAATCAACATAGCGATACAAGGATTCATACCCTGAGACTGTCTGTGTCGTACTCCCTCAAAGAGGGGACCGTATTTGTTCATTGTAACTTGTGTTGTGAGGTCAACTTCACCTGCCCGCAACCTGATAAAAATGACAACTGACAAATATGTGAACCTACGGACAGATTCTTAGTGAACTCGGAGATGGACTACTGGTATGGAGAGCTAGGGATAAACTGATCTGATCTTATAGGGATATTTCCAACAGCTGCAAATACTCACTGATCATGCCCATTGAAGAGGCTATGCACTGACTTGAAGCATTGTCCAATGTCAAAGGTGTACCATAGGTTGTGAAAGGTGGTAGGATATGGGACCATCAATTCTAAAATTTCAAAGTTTCAAAAAACTGAAATATTTGTATCAGACATGTTCAGATGACTGAAGGGGCAGTCGGGTAGCCTAGTGGTTGAAGTGTTTGCCGATGACCCGGGTTCGATTCCTCACATGGGTACAATGTGTGAAGCCCATTTCTGCTGGACACCTGCTGTGATATTACTGGAATATTGCTAACACTTATAGTCTGGAAGGTAATTTAAGGTACCGACATTAACTACAATATCTGAAAAACTATTTGACCTACTCAAGTCAAAGTTGGTATGAGATTATTAAACAGTCATACATAAATGGATATTACATTTAAAAACAATCAGTGCATGAATAAAAAATCTGTCTATTTAGCTATCACTATATTTCATCAACAACCAGACCTGTTCGTCACGGTGGAACGAGCATTCATTGCAACAGCCACCTGCATAATGCTACCCCTGCGTCACAGGGCCATATGACAGTTGAACCAATCAACTCAACTCAAAAGGGTGCACGGGAATCACGCACGCACGAACAGTGTTAGCGTGGGGCGTCTCAATGTGCGTGATTCCCGTGATTCCCAGATTCCCAGATTTTTTATTCATGGACCGATTGTCTTTAAATGTAATATCCAGTTATGTATGACTGTTTAATAATCTCATACCAACTTTGACTGGAGCAGGTCCGATAGTTTTTCAGATATTGTAGTAAACGGCGGTACCTTAACTTATCTTCCAGACTATAGTAAAAGCAGTGTAACACCAAACTAGTGAGTGAGTATGGTTTTACGCCGCTTTTAGCACTATTCCAGCAATATCACGGCGGGGGACACCAGAAATGGGCTTCACACATTGTGCCCATGTCGGGAATCGAACCCGGGTCTTCGGCGTGACGAGCGAACGCTTTAACCACTAGGCTACCCGACCGCCCCTAACACCAAACTAGAGTAGTCCTGGTACTGGCCAACACATCAGAGCTACTGCAATTCACTATGCAGTCACTGATCCCTGAATTCAACCATTCAACCTGTTAAAACTTGTCTGCGATTACAGTAGTGATTTATTTTCTTCTCTTTGTTTGTCATGGTAGAATAGAAATAAAGCACCTGTGTTTTCAATTTTTCGAGACCTGATTTCAACATGTTCAAGCGTTTGATTTTGAGAGTGACAATCTTGCTAAAATCAGACTGTTTCCTCCTCCTGAGGTGTTGTCGGATCTTCAGACCTACATGCAAGGGTATTATGTCAGAGTAAAACATGGCATTTTAGTGATATTGCGAATGAAATTGGCAGGTATCAAATCTGTTTGAAACTTCTAAATTGAAAATGCAGGAGATTTGTCTATGACTTAACTGTACACGATGCAGGATGGCAAATGCACAAAATTGAGTTGGATTTTAGAAACACCCTTTTATAGCTAGTACATTGCTGACTGCACCGTTAACCAAAAGTTCCCCAACACAATTCAGGGTAGCAAATGCTCTAAACTGGGATTGATTTTCAGGCCGATGTATTGGGACTCTCCGTGGTCACGAGGATGAGGTTCTCGATGTAGCGTTTGACTTCACTGGACAGAGTTTGCTGACTGCATCAGCGGACGGCACGGCTCGCGTGTACAACTCGGTCACTCACAACCTCATGTGCAAGCTAGAGGGGCATGAAGGGGAGATCTCTAAGGTGAGCAACTCATGGGTGTAGGTCCACAACCCTCTATGCATGTTGTAGAGATGGGGATCCGGTGGTGACAATGGCCATGTGCAAGCTAGAGGGTCATGAAGGGGAGATCTGTAAGGTGAGCAACTCATGGGTGTAGGTCCACAACCCTCTATGCATGTTGTAGAGGGGGATCCGGTGGTGACAATGGCCATGTGCAAGCTAGAGGGTCATGAAGGGGAGATCTCTAAGGTGAGCAACTCATGGGTGTAGGTCCACAACCCTCTATGCATGTTGTAGAGATGGGGATCCGGTGGTCACAATGGCCATGTGCAAGCTAGAGGGTCATGAAGGGGAGATCTACAAGGTGAGGAACTCATGGGTGTAGGTCCACAACCCTCTATGCATGTTGTCGAGATGGGGATCCGGTGGTCACAATGGCCATGTGCAAGCTAGAGGGGCATGAAGGGGAGATCTACAAGGTGAGGAACTCATGGGTGTAGGTCCACAACCCTCTATGCATGTTGTCGAGATGGGGATCCGGTGGTCACAATGGCCATGTGCAAGCTAGAGGGTCATGAAGAGGAGATCTCCAAGGTGAGGAACTCATGGGTGTAGGTCCACAACCCTCTATGCATGTTGTAGAGATGGGGATCCGGTGGTCACAATGGCCATGTGCAAGCTAGAGGGGCATGAAGGGGAGATCTTTAAGGTGAGCAACTCATGGGTGTAGGTCCACAACCCTCTATGCATGTTGTAGAGATGGGGATCCGGTGGTCACAATGGCCATGTGCAAGCTAGAGGGGCATGAAGGGGAGATCTACAAGGTGAGGAACTCATGGGTGTAGGTCCACAACCCTCTATGCATGTTGTAGAGATGGGGATCCGGTGGTCACAATGGCCATGTGCAAGCTAGAGGGGCATGAAGGGGAGATCTTTAAGGTGAGCAACTCATGGGTGTAGGTCCACAACCCTCTATGCATGTTGTAGAGATGGGGATCCGGTGGTCACAATGGCCATGTGCAAGCTAGAGGGTCATGAAGGGGAGATCTTTAAGGTGAGGAACTCATGGGTGTAGGTCCACAACCCTCTATGCATGTTGTAGAGATGGGGATCCGGTGGTCACAATGGCCATGTGCAAGCTAGAGGGGCATGAAGGGGAGATCTTTAAGGTGAGCAACTCATGGGTGTAGGTCCACAACCCTCTATGCATGTTGTAGAGATGGGGATCCGGTGGTCACAATGGCCATGTGCAAGCTAGAGGGGCATGAAGGGGAGATCTACAAGGTGAGGAACTCATGGGTGTAGGTCCACAACCCTCTATGCATGTTGTAGAGATGGGGATCCGGTGGTCACAATGGCCATGTGCAAGCTAGAGGGGCATGAAGGGGAGATCTTTAAGGTGAGCAACTCATGGGTGTAGGTCCACAACCCTCTATGCATGTTGTAGAGATGGGGATCCGGTGGTCACAATGGCCATGTGCAAGCTAGAGGGTCATGAAGGGGAGATCTTTAAGGTGAGCAACTCATGGGTGTAGGTCCACAACCCTCTATGCATGTTGTAGAGATGGGGATCCGGTGGTCACAATGGCCATGTGCAAGCTAGAGGGTCATGAAGGGGAGATCTACAAGGTGAGGAACTCATGGGTGTAGGTCCACAACCCTCTATGCATGTTGTAGAGATGGGGATCCGGTGGTCACAATGGCCATGTGCAAGCTAGAGGGGCATGAAGGGGAGATCTTTAAGGTGAGCAACTCATGGGTGTAGGTCCACAACCCTCTATGCATGTTGTAGAGATGGGGATCCGGTGGTCACAATGGCCATGTGCAAGCTAGAGGGGCATGAAGGGGAGATCTCTAAGGTGAGCAACTCATGGGTGTAGGTCCACAACCCTCTATGCATGTTGTAGAGATGGGGATCCGGTGGTCACAATGGCCATGTGCAAGCTAGAGGGGCATGAAGGGGAGATCTTTAAGGTGAGCAACTCATGGGTGTAGGTCCACAACCCTCTATGCATGTTGTCGAGATGGGGATCCGGTGGTCACAATGGCCATGTGCAAGCTAGAGGGTCATGAAGGGGAGATCTTTAAGGTGAGCAACTCATGGGTGTAGGTCCACAACCCTCTATGCATGTTGTAGAGGGGGATCCGGTGGTCACAATGGCCATGTGCAAGCTAGAGGGGCATGAAGGGGAGATCTTTAAGGTGAGGAACTCATGGGTGTAGGTCCACAACCCTCTATGCATGTTGTCGAGATGGGGATCCGGTGGTCACAATGGCCATGTGCAAGCTAGAGGGTCATGAAGGGGAGATCTACAAGGTGAGGAACTCATGGGTGTAGGTCCACAACCCTCTATGCATGTTGTCGAGATGGGGATCCGGTGGTCACAATGGCCATGTGCAAGCTAGAGGGTCATGAAGGGGAGATCTACAAGGTGAGGAACTCATGGGTGTAGGTCCACAACCCTCTATGCATGTTGTAGAGGGGGATCCGGTGGTCACAATGGCCATGTGCAAGCTAGAGGGGCATGAAGGGGAGATCTACAAGGTGAGGAACTCATGGGTGTAGGTCCACAACCCTCTATGCATGTTGTCGAGATGGGGATCCGGTGGTCACAATGGCCATGTGCAAGCTAGAGGGTCATGAAGGGGAGATCTTTAAGGTGAGCAACTCATGGGTGTAGGTCCACAACCCTCTATGCATGTTGTCGAGATGGGGATCCGGTGGTCACAATGGCCATGTGCAAGCTAGAGGGTCATGAAGGGGAGATCTACAAGGTGAGGAACTCATGGGTGTAGGTCCACAACCCTCTATGCATGTTGTAGAGGGGGATCCGGTGGTCACAATGGCCATGTGCAAGCTAGAGGGGCATGAAGGGGAGATCTACAAGGTGAGGAACTCATGGGTGTAGGTCCACAACCCTCTATGCATGTTGTCGAGATGGGGATCCGGTGGTCACAATGGCCATGTGCAAGCTAGAGGGTCATGAAGGGGAGATCTACAAGGTGAGGAACTCATGGGTGTAGGTCCACAACCCTCTATGCATGTTGTAGAGGGGGATCCGGTGGTCACAATGGCCATGTGCAAGCTAGAGGGGCATGAAGGGGAGATCTACAAGGTGAGGAACTCATGGGTGTAGGTCCACAACCCTCTATGCATGTTGTCGAGATGGGGATCCGGTGGTCACAATGGCCATGTGCAAGCTAGAGGGTCATGAAGGGGAGATCTTTAAGGTGAGCAACTCATGGGTGTAGGTCCACAACCCTCTATGCATGTTGTAGAGGGGGATCCGGTGGTCACAATGGCCATGTGCAAGCTAGAGGGGCATGAAGGGGAGATCTTTAAGGTGAGCAACTCATGGGTGTAGGTCCACAACCCTCTATGCATGTTGTCGAGATGGGGATCCGGTGGTCACAATGGCCATGTGCAAGCTAGAGGGTCATGAAGGGGAGATCTACAAGGTGAGGAACTCATGGGTGTAGGTCCACAACCCTCTATGCATGTTGTCGAGATGGGGATCCGGTGGTCACAATGGCTTTTGGTATGGACAGTAACTGAAAGGGTGACCAGTTTGGTCAGCCAGCTCACAGCAGATACCGGATAAAACTAGTGGCTAACAGCATGCGAAAACGATCCACATCTTCCTGATAAGCTTATTTGTGATCAGCCCAGTCACAGATCTTGATCACCTGCAGGGATAATTCTAGGGTGGGGCCTTGTGCGGTTAGCCCCTAAATTTGAAAAGAAGGCCCACATTTTCAAATGCAATTGGACATTTTAACATTGTGCTGTATGGGCGTACCTTTGGAATATTTGAAAGTTTCACATAAAGGGCCCAAGTCAGAAAATTCCTGAGTGAACCCTGCCCCTGATCAACTCTTTTGGCAGGCAATAGGTACAGGGGACCTATTTATTTATGGATACAAACCCTGGGGATACCGGGTTAGAATTGATCCCAAACAACCCCTGCTGTTTGGGAGAGGCAACTAAATGGATCGGGTGTTCAGGCTCTGTGACTTCATGGCTAATCAACGATCAGTGCTCAGAATATCAGTCACTGGATTGTCTGGCCTAGAATTAATTATTTACATGCCGCCGTCATACAGCTGGAATATTGCTGAGTGCGGCGTTAGGCAACAAACGCATGCACTTACACAGATACCAAAAAGGTCTAGAAGGAAGACTGGCTTCAGTGGCTCATTATGGAATTTGTTTGCTGTTCTCCAGCATGTAACGACCGCCACCGTGGTCTAATGGTAGAGCGTCAGCCCGGAGAGCGGAAGATCCGGGGTTTGATCCCCAGCCGCGTCATACCAAAAGACGTTAAAAGATGGTACTTGTTGTTACCCTGTCTGGCACTCGGCATTAAGGGGCTAAAACAAAGACTGGTCGGCTCAGAGTCAGTATACTGTGTCTTAGTGGGGTATCCATGTTAAACTGCGGCATGGTATCTCAGTGGGCTAGCACTATAAATCGGCATCAGTCCGGACTAGTACAAGCAGCCACACACACGTACACGTGCTTGCACGTCGCTATATGAGTGCAATAATCTTGGACGCGAAGTTAAACCCTATTTCACCTCACCTCACCTCCAGCATGTAACACTGGAATTGTAAGCAGTGCTTCTGTTACTGTGGCAGGCTTCCTTCAACCCTCAAGGCACATCAGTACTGACAGCCAGTTCGGACAAGACAGCGCGGCTGTGGGACTCGGAGTCGGGCGTGTGTAAACAAGTTCTGGAGGGTCACACAGACGAGATCTTCAGCTGCGCATTTAACTACGAGGGAAATACAATTATAACAGGTAGCTAACCATTTCATAGATTCATTCCATAAAATTGTTTAATCAGGGCTGTTGTTTCAGCCTTCTGCCTATTTTAATTGGATTGTTTTCAAATATAAGTGAATGTGTATGTCAGAATTTCTTGAAAAATCCTATGGTGAAAATAATTTACATATTAACATACTGATGTTAAAACTACTTCAGTCGTAAACAGCAGCCATAAAGGTTGTTGTTTTAAGTTGTCTGACAAATGGGGAGTCTGACAAATGGGGTGTCTGACAAACGGGGTGTCTGTCAAATGGGGTGTCTGTCAAATGGGGTGTCTGTCTGACAAATGGGGTGTCTGTCTGACAAATGGGGTGTCTGTCTGACAAATGGGGTGTCTGACAAATGGGGTGTCTGACAAATGGTGAGTCTGACAAATGGGGTGTCTGACAAATGGGGTGTCTGACAAATGGGAGATGACTGTTTCAGGAGGTACATTCTAATATCTTAACATTAGCAAGCCTTTAACTAAAGTTGATTTCTGTGGAAACATATTCTTATAAAAGTATCTTTAGTCACCACCTTGCGTATAGTTAATTTTTCTCTTAAAAAATCTCCCTTTTTTCACTCATTTATGAAATCCAAAAATTGCAAGACTAAGAAAAAAGATAGATGTCAACCATTAGAATGTGTCTGATTGATTTCACACAAATTAATCGACCCTTGAAGATCCGGGGTAGAATAGGTCTTCAGCAACCCATGCTTGCCGTAAAAGGCGACTATGCTTGTCGTAAGAGGCATCTAACGGGATCAGGTTGTCAGACTCGCTGACTAGGTTGATGCATGTCATCATCCCAATTGCGTGGATCGATGCTCATGATGTCAGTCACTGGATTGTCTGGTCCAGACTCTTATTTACAGACCACCGTCATATAGCTGTAATATTGCTGAGTTCGGCGTTAAACAACAAACAAACAAATCATACCAATTATTCAAATATTTGCAAGTTCATGTTTAGTTCACTTGTTTCCCTTCTTCTGTTTACAGGTAGCAAAGACAATACTTGTCGTATATGGAGGTGAAGCCAGTGTCATCGTGCAATCTGTCATCAGTATTACGTGTGTCATGACCACACCCTCACTTCCAGACATTCCCGGTCCAGAGCGACCTTCTCCCAGATATACACATGAACCCTCACAAGATGGGCTTGTCAAAACCGTGAAATGGAGTGGGATCAGTTACTAAACACATGAACACATTTAACCTTCATTATCATTTTGTAATACAAATGAAGTTGATTGAAATGACTTGGGATTATCTTGACTGTAAATTCATTTCGATCTGTACATGGTACATATGATACATTATTCTGTGAAAGCTTTAGTTGTTTATTGTTGGCGAGGACAAAGGGTCAAATTGTCATATCATGACCAGAAGTATTATGAATTAAAAAATGAAAATTGTCAATATTGCTAAACTAGAAAAAAATAGTTTCATTACACTACCTGTCTGCTTTTTGGGGGTGTAAAGATAAGTTTTAGATACAAATGAGTCAGAAGGTGATATGAATCCAAAACGGAAGCTGAGGGTATTAACTGTTATATAACTTCACATCATCCACAATAATCTCCCTGCTAATGAAAGTTTTTTTACACAGTCCAGTTGTGTTAAAATATGATTTTTGTCTTCATCAGTTAAGCTTTTTCTTTTTTGTGACTGATAGTACAAAGTTGTATTAAATTATGAACTTGAATTGCAGCATTATTTTCAAATGAAGTTGTTGAGATTGTGTGTGTAATGGGTTCCAATATTGAGCCACGTTCAAATTCCCAAAGCATTGTTTGGATCAGCTCCTCAAGTTCAGTGTTTTCATACCAGCTAATCATGTTAATCGTTATTATTTATCTTAAGCAATACAAATTTGTATTCATGTTGTTATCCGACCATGTTTGATTTAATTGTCAAAATATGAGGTGTCCCAAACTGTGGTCCTAGTCTTCACTTAATAATGTCAGTTTCAAACTTTTGTCAGAATCATGTTATTTGGAAGCCACAAAGTGTGGCGTCTTTACCAAGATTTCAAATTTTAGCTTTTAAAGAATATTAATCCATGTCTGTGCAGGAAAAGGTTATGTCTATAATGATATTAGTGAACCTAGTGTCAGCCAGTAACTTAGATATGCTGAATCAAACCCACCAAATCTTTATTCCTTAGGAGCCAACCATTTGATATTCTGAGGTTAGGGGAAAAGGGGGGCTTGTTTTTAAAACAATTAGAATACCCTTGTTCCTCCCAATATCCTGAAATAATTTGTCCTCTAATGTTACCCCAACAATAAGTTCACTGGGCATGCGAGATGCTCTGTAAAGTAATGTGTTGTGAAGATAAACAAGTTGTTTGGCTCATCCTTCGTGAGAAAAAATGTTTGACTTGAAGAACGGACTAAAAAAATATATATCTCAAACACAAATCCCAGACTTCCCCTCCTCAGAATATTAGATAGTCAGTTCCTCAACGTAAAATGTTTTAATCTTCTTTTTACACGACCTGAAAAACCGTCCACTCTTTTTTATGTATTTTCTTGTTTTACCGGTATATATATTTCTAAGAAATGGCTATCGCTTTTGCCTTAGTGTACTATTACCGTCCAAAGCGTTATTCAGTGCCAACTGTATTTATTTCTGTTATAGACAAACACAAGATCTAGATGTTGGCCTTGCCTACACAACTAGGTACCGTCCCTTTGTTTTTTCTTATACTGAAAGATGCATTTTCATACTTTCATGAAAGAGAATGTGCTTGGTATCTTGTCTTGCTTTCCTGTTTTTATGAAAGAGTATGCCCCAAGTATGTTTCCTTACTTTCTTGAAAGAGTATTCCCTAATATGTTTCCTTGCTTTCATGAAAGAGTATTCCCAAATGTTTCCTTGCTTTCATGAAAGAGTATTCCCAAATATGTTTCCTTGCTTTCATGAAAGAGTATTCCCAAATATGTTTCCTTGCTTTCATGAAAGAGTATTCCCAAATGTTTCCTTGCTTTCATGAAAGAGTATTCCCAAATATGTTTCCTTGCTTTCATGAAAGAGTATTCCCAAATATGTTTCCTTGCTTTCATGAAAGAGTATTCCCAAATGTTTCCTTGCTTTCATGAAAGAGTATTCCCAAATATGTTTCCTTGCTTTCATGAAAGGGAATTCCACAAATAAGTTTCCTTGCTTTTGTTAAAAGTTATAGACTAGATTTGTATTTTAGTTTTCATGAAAAAGAATGCATCAATTGTGGTTTTATTACTTTCATGAAAGAAATTGTAGAAAATATTTGTTACATATCTTTCATGAACGGGAATGCACCTAATGGTTTTTTTTGGTTCCATATAAAGGGAAATCATGAGATTGGTTTTTCAAACATATATTTTCACTTGTTGTTAATTTTGACTTGTTTTTTCTCCTATGAAATTGTCGCTCTTTGGCCGGTTGTATTGGGTGTAAATTTGGATTGCTTTTTTTAACCATATTCACATTTGGTTCTTCTAGACTTTAACTTGACTTTACCAATGTTTCATTGTGAACCTTCAGATTGCTTCGAGCTTTTTATTAGATCCATTTAAAACCAGATATGGCTAAAAAATATTTCTAACCATTTTGTGTCTCATTGTCTTTCAAACTGTAGGCATGATGAAAAGCCTTGTGGCACACCCAGAGGATTCAGCCAATCAGACAGCAAATAGATTGTCATGTGACATGGTATAGAGGTGAAAATCCACTGATGTGTTCCACAATAATAAACATCATTTTGTTTCACTCACTCACTCAGCAAGTCAACTGATACTATGCTAGAGGTTGTTCTATGCATGTTAAGCTTTGTAAGTACCATCATGTTAAGCTTTGAATTTTTCTGGTGAATATAATTCATGATCAGAGAGTAGAAATATCATGAAATGAAATCAACAATCATTTGTGTTTCATGGTATTACAATGTTAGTTTATCACCTTCATATTAATACATACATTTAAAAAATAGTTTTGCTCATAAATCAAATTATTGCTTCCTTATTCTTATGTCAAGTACTGTGCCTTTTTGGTGGTTTTTTTCAGGATTTAAGTCTTGTTAAACCAAGACATTATTCATTATTACTTTTCGTTCAGACAAAAAAAAATGTAATTAATGTCAAAATAGCTATCTTGTTAATGTCAGATCTTTTGCTACGATATGACACACCTCTGTGTGAAGATCTGAGAACACCTACAAAGGTGCTAGTATCACGTGGCCTATGTAATCAGCCAGTCAGTGTCATGGTTTCTGTATTGTTGGCACGAGTGAGCGAAGCATTCAGACAAGCACTTCTGATTTCTGTATCTCGAAAATGAATATAATAATATAATCAGGGATTTCTGATCCCCCCCCAAAAAGCTGCACCTTATATCGTTGGGGATATTTTATACAACCTGTCGTTTCTGACACCCAAATATCTACACCCAAAATAGTTGACGAGGTGTTTAGAAAACTCACATGTGAATTCCTCCACAACCCTTCATTTAGATAGGGTTGTCAAAGTTCACCCAGCATCACCTGACGTTACCTTCTACGGAGGTGTTCTCATCAGAGTAAAAGACCAGATTTGAATGAGATCATGGAATTACACAAATCACATCAGCTGGAAATGTGGCTGCTGGTTTTATTCCTTCCATATTGAAAGCAGGTTCAGACCAAACTCAGTCACTCATTCCAAAATAAACATTCCATGTTATGATGATCTGAAGACGAGTGAAAAAGGATGCAAGCTTGATTGCAATCTGTGATTTATACTTATTTTTCAGTTTGATATTTCTATTTTTTTATTTGGGATGAGAATGCTTTTTTAAAGAAAATAACACTGAAAGTTAGCTGGGGGTCTGGGAGACTATGTGATTTATGCATATATTGTAATGGCAGGTATCACAAAAGTGACATTATCCACAGAACTCTGTGGATCCTCAACATCCTCATCCCTGTTTTTTTATTGTTGGGTTTCGCTGGTTATTCCTGATTCCAAAGGATGTGATGTTAAAACTGGTTCCAGTCATATGTACTGACTTGTGAGTGTATGTGCCCGTGAAGATTCCGGGGTAGAATAGGTCTTCAGCAACCCATACTTGACGTAAAAGGCGACTATGCTTGTCATAAAAGACGACTAACGGGATCGGTTGGTCAGGCTCGCTGACTTGGTTGATACATGTCATCGATCCCAATTGCGTGGATCGATGCTCATGATGTCAATCACTGGATTGTCTGGTCCAGACTCGATTATTTTACAGACCGCTGTCAAATAGTTGGAATATTGCTGAGTGCGGTGTTAAACAACAAACAAACAAACAAACAAACGTGAGAGTATGTTGCCATGTCAGGTTTAAGGACTGAACAGACATATACCAGTTTGTCCTACATAGTTTATGGATTAACGTATGCATACATTTTTCACCTTTAAATCTTTTTAATTTTTTTTGGTAATTTATTTTACGTAAACCTGATGAAGCATGTCTTAAACACTAGTTGTAATAATTGTGTTGTGTCTCCTGTGTTAAAGTTTGCTTTGTGATAGAATGAAATATATTTGTCATAGTCATTGTTAAATGGTATATTTTCATATGTACAATTTTTGTTCATGTTAAGATTTGGTGATCTTTACTATATTATTTTGATGATAGGACCACATCCAGTATTTACTTCTAAGGTACTGGGAGTCAAGGTAAAGATCAAGGCCAAATAGTTGCACCTGTTAGCGGTGGTAATATTGACTTTATGTTGCGCTAGAACGCAGTTACGTACACCACTATTCAGAACCTTGTTATTGTGGAAACTCCATCTTCTGGACAATTACGTTGGGAGTGTCAGTGTGCATAAAGGGACGTTACAATTTCGACATGTTAATCTGGAAATTCCTAAATCTGGATGATTTCATTGGGGATGTTTTTCATTAGGAGTGGCACTGTCTGGAGTAATGAGGTTTCAGTGTGTACAGGATCCTTTTGAAATGCCAGTATGAACTGAACTGTTATAAGGTCATAGCCAAGGAGATTGTTGTCAAGTATACAGTTTGTATATATGTGATTGTCCGGCACTGAGCTAACCAAGTTGGAAGACCTAACATATTTGATTCAATTCATTCTAATGTTACTTTTTTTGTTTACTTAAATCTTGTGATGTATACATCAATTTGACTATAAATGATGACCCGAATTACACCAATACATGTGGGCATGGGTGCCCCAGTTGTTCCTTGGACTTTCCAGAAAGCTAAAGCGCCACGGGTGGCCCAGTCGTCTAAGGCGCCGCGATTCGCTGTGCAGAGTTACGTCCCTTGGGCACACCAGAAACCTATGATTGTGGGTGCGAATCCCGATTATGTTTGTAAGTTTGTCAGCACCATACCCGTGCTCGTGGGTTTCACCAAAGTGGTAAACATCTGAGACCTGCATCACTTCGGGCTTTCGTCCCACATTAAGCTGACACGCCGTGATATAACTGGAATACTGTTACTCACTCCAGACAGCTAAGATTGTGGGTTCGAATCCCAGTTCACCCTGATTATGTTTTTAGGTTTATCAGCACCATACACATGCTCATGGGTAAACGTCTAAGACCTACATCACTTCAGGCTTTCCTCCCTCGTTTAGCTGACACACCGTGCTTAAACTGGAGTAGTTAAACCCAACTCACTCACTCACTACACCAAGACACTGAGTGTCAACTGTAGTGCATCATGCCTCATTAATTGTTGGGGGCACAGATGGCCTAGTTGTAACTGCAGTTGACAGCATCAGCTGCAAGCTGTTCAAATCCAAGATTCACCATTATTAGAATCTTGGGATTGTCTGCACCCACTCAAAGATGCATACTATTGTGATTTTGGCAGAATCATTATGACTTTGGTGCCTCATGTTAATACATGTCTATCAAAAAACCAAATCTCCTGTCCTTTAATAGTGAGTCTCACCAAAGGTGCAAGTTACATCTCTTCCTCTTTAAACTGAGAGGGGCAGTCGGGTAGTCTAGTGGTTAAAGTGTTCGCTCGTCACGCCGAAGACCCGGGTTCGATTCCCGACATGGGTACAATGTGTGAAGCCCATTTCTGGTGTCCCCCGCCGTGATATTGCTGGAATATTGCTAAATGCGGCGTAAAACCATACTCACTCACTCACTCATTAAACTGAGAGCTCAAGATAAACTTTGAAATGCTCATTTTTCCAGCATTGAATTGAAGACTTGTTATAGAGGTGGATAGTTTAACATTCAGAGACATAGTAGAGAAATACCAGGTAATTTAACTTTAATACTGCTCCCTCATGGGGATGTATTCTGGGGGACATCAAAGTTTCTAATCATCTTCATCAGCCAGACTAATATATTATATTGAGAGTAATATTAACTTCACCAAGATCCCAAGCTTTTCTCATACACTAATAAATGTCACCTCAGTGCTGGAGTGTTATCAGTGAGTGGGTAGATTTCTCAGCAGGATAAAGTCCACGGATATTTGCCAGCCCCAAACACACTCGCCTAATAACCTCTATGTATG